TATTCAGTTGCTGGAGATTTAACCTACTGCACTCTGCGATCCTAATATTCAAAAGAATTTTTGTTACCAATTTCAATGGATTTCTCGACAAGATTTTATTTGAGAAATTTGCTGAATTATTTGCTGCTCATCAGCCTGTATGGCCAAGACGCAGAGAAATTGGACACCAGACGGTTTCTCGCCAAATTATTATATATATTATTTCCAGTTTGTTTCACCGGTACATTTTCCAATTTTTCTATAAAAATTTACACCAAATAGGGCCAGCAGTTAATGCTAGCAAAAAATACCAAAATAATTGATTAGAATTAAATTGTCTATCAAATTCGAAAACAAATTTAAAATTCCTACTTTTAATTTCGACCACCAAAAAGAAATCTTTTGCCATTTTTAATAAAATCTTTCTTTAAAAATTTTTATTGCCATTTGATGATTTTTCAATAGTAGTAATTACTTACCTTATAGAGAGAATTTTCGAGGATCAAGATTATGTAGTTCTTAATTTACTAGCCCTCTTAGTTGTCAAAGTCGCTTAAAATTCGAAAGCCAAATTTAACTGAATAAAAATTTTTTAAACGGAAATTCATTTTACCCGCCATTACTGATTTACCGCCTCTTTTTATTTACTTACCTCCTCTTTTCTTAGATCCGAATGCAAGCCTGAAGGAGTTTCTGGGCTGTTTCGAGTCAAATTTTGTGTCCGTTTGCTCTAAAGTCGACAAAATAAAGATTGAATATTAGGATCACGAAAGTTCGGAAAACTGATAAGTTTGGGGTGCGTTAAATATGTGATCAGGTAGGAAAATAGCAGAAATAATTTTAATTAGAAAAACTTAAACATATTCTTTAATAAAAGAAACTACCCAGAGGCATAGAAGATTTTGTAGCAGAGTCAATTTGTGTAATAATCACCAAAAGTTATTTATTTATTTATTATAAATGCTCAACGGCGTAATGAAGATTTTTTATTAGTTTACAATTTTATATAATGAGTTTGACATGTTTTCGCCCTGAGGCATCGTCATAAATGAAAGAGAATAGAAGTTATTTAAGATAATAAAACTTAATACTAACAATCTGATGCAAGAATGGTCCTTCTACGATGTATTACAGGGTCAGGTGCAAAATCCTAAAACAAGCAAGAGGTAGTCCTTCGAACATAAAAGTGATACAATTTTGGGGTCAATTTGTGATAATCATAAAGTTATTTAGGAAAATGATAAAGGAATTAATTGCACTTACAATCCTGATACAGAATGGTCCTTCTACGATGTCAGACTCAGATTGCAAAATCCTAAAACCATAAAAATTAGTCCTTCGAACATAAAATGCAATTTTGGGGTCAACTTGTACGATAATCATAAGTTATTTAGAAAATGATAAAGGAATTAATTACTTACAATCTGATACCAGAATGGTCCTTCTACGATATGTCAGACTCAGGTGCAAAATCCTAAAACAAGCAAGAAATTAGTCCTTCAGACATAAAAATGCAGTTTTGAAGTCAAATTTGTACGATAATCATAAAAGTTATTTAGAAAAATGATAAAGAGATTAATTACTTTAATCTATTGATACCAGAATGGGTCTTCTACGATGTCAGACTCAGGTGCCACAAATCCCTAAAACAAGCAAAAATTAGTCCTTCGAACATAAAATGCAATTTTGGGGGTCAATTTGTACGATAATCCATAAAGTTATTTAGAAAAATGATAAGAGGTGGTACTTACAATCTGATGCCAAGAATGGTCCTTCTACGATGTCGGAAGACTCAGGTGCAAAATCCTAAAACAAGCAAGAATTAGTCAACTGAACATAAAATGCAATTTTGGGGTCAATTTGTACGATAATCATAAAAAGTTATTTAGGAAAATGATAAAGGAATTAATTACTTACAATCCTGATACCAAATGGATTAAACTTCTACGATGTCAGACTCAGGTGCAAAATCCACAAACCATAAAAGAATTAGTCCTTCCGAACACTTAAAAATGCAATTTTGGGGTCAAGCATTTGTACGATAATCATAAAGTTATTTAGAAAATGATAAAGGAATTAATTGCTTACAATCACAGTACAGAATGGTCCTTCTACGATATCAGACTCAGGTGCAAAATCCTAAAACAAACCGAAAAACAAAAAATCACCCTTTTATGCAAAATTTTTCGCGGGATTTACCCCGATGAATTCCTGCAATAAATAAATACAGCCGACAGAGAATTTAATTTCCATCTCTGGACGCCGATGAAATTGGTAGGCCGCCTAGATCACGCGCAAACACTAAAAAATACAAACATTTCACGGAAAGGGTGACAAAAATCACCCTTTTGTGCAATTACCGGGTTGCCGGTCCTTCACTACAACAAAGAAATACAAATAGGAAAGCAGAGAATTTGAATTCACGCATCTCTGGACGCCGATGAAATTAGTAGACCGCCTAGATCCGCGCAAACACTAAAAAATACAGAAGCATTTCACGAAGGGTGACAAAAATCCTTGCTTGCAGCATATAGGTACTTTCGCGGGTTACCCGGTCAATTCCTGCAACAAAAGAAATACAACCGGACAGAATTTAATTCACGCATACTCTGGACGCCACGATGGGGAGTGTTGAGCCGCCTAGATCACGCGCGCAAACACGAAAAAATACAAACATTTCACGAGGAAAGGGTGACAAAATCCCCATTTTATGCAAATTTTCGCGGATTTCGTTTACAGGTCGAATTCCTGCAACAAACCGTCTAACCGACGAGAGAATTTAATTCTGCATCTCCAGATACTTACTTGGAGGTGAAACTAGTGAGCCACGCCTAGATCATACTACAAACACGAAAAAATACGACATTTCACCACAGAAAAGATTTGACAAAATCATCATTTGCAAATTTTCAGGTTTACAGGTTGAATTCCTTGCAACAAGCAAATACAACCCGACAGAGAATTTAATTCTGCATCTCTAGTCTGCCAGTGAAACTAGTAGGCCACCTAGATCCTGCCTACAAACACGAAAAAATACAAACATTTCATGAGAAAGGGTGCCAAAAATCATCATTTTATGCAAATTTTCCGGGTTACAGGTTGAATTCCTGCAACAAACAAATACAACCCGACAGAGGATTTAATTCCGTATCTCTGAACGCCACGATGAAATGACAACAAAATAATTAAAATTAAAGGTCTAGAGGTTCTGAAATCGTGTATAAATGTGCAAAAAAGAGCATATTTTTATTTTTATGAGTCTTTTCGTTCGCGAATATTTCGTAAATTTATGGTAGGAAGAGAGGAACTATTATTATTAATTAAACTAGAATTATTAATCTTCGAGTAATTCTCTATAAGACAAAGTATTAAAATGCCAATGCCAAGCAAACAAGGTGGCGACAATTCATGATAAGAATACCTACTGCGCGAACGTGTAAAACCGGCGCAAGAATGGCACGCAACCTGCACGATTTAAACTACTAGAACACAAACGTAGCGAGATGTGAAAGGATGGCAACAAGAACACACGGCAATTTCGTGCGTTGCTATTCGCACAGCAATAAAAAAGTGTAAACAAACACAATTCTCGTGTCGAATGCCCGCGTTTGCTGATAAATATAGAAATAAACAATACAAATCTATTTTACTTCATGCTAATGCCATCTATAAATAATACAAGTAGTATTCCCACAATTTAAATTACTTATTAAAATTAATAATAACTTAAAATTCAATTTACGTAATTATAAATTGTTATGCTGAAAGATTACCTGATTTTACATCAAATATTTAAGTGATATATTAATTTTACAAAGATTAGAAGTTGAGGCATATGTCTTATTGATTCTTGTTCAAATAAAACTTCAAATTTCCCTTCATTTTCCTTCAAAAAACTTTGTCATTTGGTAACATGGCAGAAAAACATTAAAACGTAGAACTAAACTGAAATCTAGGTACACGGCAAACTCTTTCTATAAATAATAAAATTATTTTACTTACCAGATATGCAAAACCGTAAATCGAAGACATGTTGATAGATACTGAAATAAATTAGAAACAAAACATTAGTAACAGCATTTCGTGCCATGTTGAAATGAATCTGAGTTCCGTCGGAACCCAGTTTTAAATTAAAATTTCATTTATTCACATAATAATGATAGGAATGACAATATTTACCAGGTAAGACATTAGTCCATAACCATCTGCTGATGATATAAATGTTTTTCACAAGTTCATTAATTATTGGCGTTCACAAAACACCACCGGTCGTCGTCCGACGGCAACGGACTCACAAACACGTGAATAAATTAAATACGCAAAATTTAGAATTACGAAGATTACACACGCAATAAATAGCTGATAAAAGATGAAACACGTTTATTAACTTTAATTATCACCGGCGATCAGGAAATATAACGCGATTTACCGAACAAATAACAAAGAATAACACAAGCCGAAAGTGTGGAATGTGTGCTCGCCGTTATCGCACCGATGCAACAAAACAAAATTCACTCGCAGTAATATTTTTAGTTAAACCTGCACTGTCGCGCCATCTGAGGACTCTTTCTAGTACCTCTAATAAGTACAAAGTGTTTCAAACAGTGTGGCGCGCATGTGAAGATATTACTAGTTGGTTTCAAATATTAAATCATAAATCGTATCGAATCTGCGCTTTTCTTGCAACAATTAAATACAATAGAGAATTTAATTCTGCATCTTTAGATCCGACGCTATGGTTTGTACGACACGTCGTTAACTCACAATAACAAAAACTAAATTATTTAATGCCAACGCTTTAGTAGAAGGAAAAATGAATAATAGGGAAAAGTAATCCATGGTGCTTGCGTAACACCCACGCAGAAACACATAAATAAAATCCACAAATTCTGTAATAAGCGTCTCAATCAGTAAATGCACTTAGATTCTTATACATTAACAAATTTTAGTAGAATTTAATAGTATTGCAAGTCGAGCCTGTCAATTTGCAACAATAAAAACACAACAACACATGTTTCTCGCTTAAAATTTGGGTCGATTAGCCACATTAGTATGTGATCAGTAGAGGTGCTGATGATCTAATGATCGAAATTGCTATCCAATTGCCAACAACGATACCTTGTGAGGATTAAAGCGTTCCTTTTGACTTACGTGTATTAATATATAACATTAAAACAGAGTATGCAAATTTGTACATCTAAAAATTAATACAAATTAAAAAAATTAAAAAAAATTCTTATTTATTACTTACCGATAGTGCAAGTGCATTGGAACAAATTGCAATATTCCCAGCTCGTAAGATTAATCCTTTTCTAGAATTCAAATTCATAAAATGAAGGTATTTGACAGTTTCTATATCCCCATCCCATGGACATGCATAAAACGTGGAGTTTTGAATTTTATCTCCCTGAAATAAAGGTGTAATATTATAAAGGAAACATATTTAATTTTAGTTGTTAAATACAAGACTAATTAAATATTCGCCTAGTGTGCCCACATATATCGTCCCCACCAGATACAAGGTAAGATGACAAAGTAATAGAATGTCAAAATGCTGAAAAGTTTGTGAAAATAAGTGTTAAGTAAGAGAAGTATTTTGAAGTAAATTACAATTAACTCCGATATTAGAATCAGCGCCATTTCCAATCCACTGAACACAATGTGTAGTAACATACCCCACGTGTAATATTCTTCAATTTTCTTCCAAAATCTGCATCAAATTAAAAAAAATTGTTTTTTCAATTGAATATTGATATAATTGACTTACCTAAGTAAAAATATGTGATGCCTGTATGCGATCATCAGCTTAAACCGACGTATGTTCCTATCTTGAGAACGTTTGACATCACCAAGGGTTGATTCAAGCACCTCTACGAACATTTCTAAATACGTGTACATCGTATAAAGCAATGAGACAACCGTCACTGTGCCAGCTCCTACATATATTATGAAGAACAGAATGAACATGTTATACGTGATGCGATAAGGTGATTTCATCACATCGATGAAAAAATACTGAAAGCAGAAAGTATTCGATTGATAGTAATGAATTAATATTTTCGTTATTACTTACAGAGGGTATCATGTATCCGCACGAATATGGTTTTAAATTGATGTCACAGTTGTGCATTTCAACATATACGCATTTTACCAAACTAAATAAACACAAATAGAGGTGTATCCATGCTAACAAACGGTTTTGCCAATTAATTTTCTTTGCTAATTGTGCCTGTTTTACAATAAAATGTAAATTGTTATCCAGTTCTTGCAATAAGTTGAGAATAGATCTCATACTAGTCTTGGCTGTGTAAACAGCGTAAGAACAAAAGGTTGCTGATAACAGCGCGCCTAGATTTACTGAATAGGTTCCTAATGCTTCGCCATCATGGATTTGCTTGTACAGGTAACCCAAATTACCAAAGAAAAATAACAACGTGCTGAGCCAGAATATGATTTCTCGTGCAAGAACAATTGAATTTGGGTGATGCGAATAATATTTATCCAATATTTGAAAGCCTAATGCATGTTTTGGACTGATTGGAATATTCATCGTGGTATCTTGGAAAAGGGCAGAGTTGTGTTTTATTTTGACCAACTTGCTTGTGTAAGCAATGATGTGGGCCTGACTACTAAAGGAATCATTTTCCAATCATGAATAGATCAAAAGTACCACGAAAATACTAATATTAACGTATTTAATGAACTATCATAGTTATAATAGTTCATAAATAAATAACGAATATGTACTTTTACGTTAATGCTAATATTGCATTAATTTACAACATTACTGCGATTAATAAGACCGAATATTAATAGATGATTAAAATTGAAGAATGTTGCATTGCGTGGGTACAATTTGAGGTGGGGACTAGTAGCATTTCTTGTTTGGCCCTGTGCTTCTATCCCGTGTCATAACATTTAATTTTAACCTAAACTTTTTGGCGGTTATTTTACCAAGTAAACGTTACTACAAAGGTACTGCAATTAGTTTTAAAGTGTGTTTACATTTGTTATTATATTTTGTGATATTTACAGAATTTATAACATGTATATCAAGATTCGCAACCTTGCCGCGAAGCCAGGTGATCCTGAGCTTATCCTCACATTATCCAAAACATCAAAAATTCAAGAAATGCGCAAAATGATTGAGAAAGAACTGAATATTGGAGTGGAAAGACAACGCTTATTCTATAAAGGCAAATTATTAATAGACGACCACGCATTATTTGATTATGATGTCCAACTAAATGATGTGATACAACTAATGGTGAGAGATATTCTGCCAGATTCAAAAACAACCACAGATAATCAAGAAAAACCTAAAATCAAGACAATACTTGAAGAAGTTGCAAGTGACAGTGAATATTATACAACTGGTGAAAGAGTTGAAATGCAAGACATTAATGGTGCATGGTTTGAAGCCACAATTGAGAAGATAGTGAAGAATCCAAATACAGTTGATGATATTAACATTCCTTCAAAAGAACCAGACTTGCTTTTTAAATGCTTACAAGATAACATAGGATATCCAGTGAGAATTGACTGTACTTTTGATATTGTTAGACCAAGAGCATATTATATCTATCCAAGAAAAGAGTTAAGTCCTGGCATGACTGTTTTAGTTAATTATAATGTGGATGAACCAAAGGAAAGAGGATACTGGTATGATTTCAAAATATCAGTTGTGATGCAGAGAAGTATTAAAGGCACATTATTCTTGGGCAGAGACAGAGCACCATTAAAAGATATTAGTATTAAGTTGATTGATGAAATTTACAGAATACAAAAACCTGTTTTAAATACTAGTAATGAAAAGGATGAAGTTCCACAAGACATTCCAACTAAAAAGATACCATTCAATTGCACAAAGTGTAAAGATGATATTAATAGAAAATGCAAAGAGTGTGGTTGCAGAATTTGTCATGGAAAAAATAATGTTGAGTTGATTCTGTTATGTGATGAATGTAACAATGGATTTCACATTGGTTGTTTAAATCCACCTCTAACAGAAATTCCAGAGGAAGATGAATGGTATTGTCCACAATGTAAAATTGATTGTAATGAAATTGTAAATGCAGGAGACAAGTTGAAGAAAAGTAATAAAAAGGCAAAAATGCCAAGCGCCAATGCAAGTACATCAAAACGCGACTGGGGAAAGGGCATGGCTTGTGTAGGTAGAACAAAAGAATGCACAATAGCTAAAAAGGATCATTTGGGTCCTGTACCAGGAGTGGAAGTTGGAACATGTTGGTTATATCGTCAACAAGTCTCGGAAGCAGGAATACATCGACCATTGGTGGCTGGTATTCATGGCAGTGAGAAACACTTTGCATATAGTATAGTACTAAGTGGAGGATATGAAGATGATTTAGACAATGGCGACGAATTTTATTACACTGGTTCAGGGGGAAGAGATTTATCAGGGAACAAACGCGTGAATGAACAATCCTGTGATCAAAAGTTGACGCGCATGAATAAAGCACTGGCAATGAACTGCAATGCGAAATTCAATGATAAAATCGGCGCGGAAGCGAAAGATTGGCGGGCTGGGAAGCCAATAAGAGTTGTGCGGAATTACAAAGGTGCTAAGCACTCGAAATACGCGCCGAAGGAAGGCAATCGTTATGATGGAATCTATAAAGTTGTGAAGTATTATCCGGAGAAAGGACTTTCTGGTTTCATTGTTTGGAGATATTACTTGAAACGAGATGATGACACGCCAGCACCATGGCATAAAGGTGGTAAAGAGTATGAAATGATTTACCCTCCAGGCTATAAAGAATTACAGGAGAAAAATAAAAGTAAAGAACAAGAAAAGAAGAAAGGAACTAAAAGAATACTTGCAGAAATGACCAATACACCTTCTAAAAAAGCCAAGGTTGAAGCTTATGTTCTTCCAGAGGAATTGAAAAAGTTTATTAAATCGGATTCCGTGAATGAAAAATACTGGCAGCAGTGTAAAGATTCATTAAAAGATGGAAAGATTAAGTTTTATGAGAAAGTGCAGGACATTTTTATTTGCATTTGCTGCCAGGAAGTTGTTCATTTACCCATCACGACTGAATGTGTTCATAATATTTGTAGGAATTGTTTGAAGCGTTCGTTTGCTTCTGAAATCTATACTTGTCCGTATTGTCGCGCTGAATTAGGCAAAGCGTACAATGGAAAAGTCAATGAGAATTTAAGAAGTGCTTTAGTATTCATGTTTCCTAATTATGAACAATCTCGTTAATCTTGTATTACTTACGATTCTGTCTTCAATAATTTAATATATGGTCTCATTTTAATATTGTATTCTTGTGTTTCTTTTATACGAAGTTTTTCGTTACTAATTATATCACAGTTGTTAAGAATTTGGTTTTTTTGCGGAAAGTAAATTGATTTCAACATATATGAATTGATGTAAGTGTGGTTGCAGCTTTACAGGCGGAGCTTTCATTGCCAAATAGTCCTTCTAAAACAGGACACAAATTCTTTCCACAGACTTACACAACAAAACTTTAATATAAAAAGTGTTTGCCGGGTGTCTTTATTCCGCAGATCTCTTTTCTAATTCCAAAATTTAAATTAAACTCTATATATGCACATGTGTTACGGGTAGGAGTTTTTGAATTTTTAAAATCACCCTCCTTGTTACCGCTTTGCACATTCTCTTTACTGATTGGTCAACGCATTATTTGAAGAAAACTTGCCGTTGCCATGGTTACAAGCCGTGTATTCTTATGGAGGTCGGCCATCATGAAAATTACCGGATATAAAGCTCGCGACCAATCAGAGCAAGCTGTCAAACAGTCAAATTATTCAACCTGTTTTATGTTGTTATGTTATTTATTTCCTCGGTAAAAGAAGTTTCGCCATCAGCAGTGGTACACCACGCTCTAATGGTAGATTCATGTGGTAGCGCACGAGACAATTTTGACCTGATAAAATTATAAGCTTTTGGAGAATAGAGGTAAAGTGTTGATGCAAATGAACGCAAGGCGGATGGATATTTGTCTTGAGTAATACTTTCCCTGCTGCCATTATCACAGAAACGTTGTAAAAATTCCGCAGTGAAAGCGTCAACACCCTTTGGTAACGTATTTAATACATTTGACTTTGAATTTGCCTCAATTTCTAGAGTTTCAATAATATCACGCATTCTCGACATTGACTTTGCATTACGCGCAAGTTGCTTTTTTAACAGGGCATTTTCGCTGCGTGCAATTTGTAATTTCCGTCTCAATGTTGAAACTTGCGCACTCAAATATTGTGGCGAAGCGTGATATTTGTGCTCAAAAGCAACATGCGCTGAATTGGTAATATATGTCGTTGTTACGTCAATATCATTGTCATTATATTTATGAGATTCGGGAGAAGGTTCTTCAACTTCTTCTGTAAAGACAAATCATTATTATTGTTATAGTACAAACAAAAAAATGTCTACAACCTTTAATTCTGTGCACCATTGGAAATATAGTAGGAACTGCAAAAGGTTTCAATTGGCCCCCCGGAAAATAGGAATCTTCAGTGAAATGATCAGAACATATAAAACTTGGCTCAGTTATTTTATCACAATACTCTGGAATGGATGAAAGCCATCTCCTCAACAATTCATCTTTTGCAAACGGAAACCTAAATATTAAACGTTTTAGTTTGCAAAGTTGTCTATCTGTGAAAATGAAGAAATAAAAACAATAATCAAACATAAATACTTATGAAATCTGCCTGGTGAGTTTCTCTTCTTAAAACAAACCACGCATCTTAATTTGTATGTGAGCAATTTTGTAGGAACACTTGATTTCTTTAAAACAGTTTTCACTCTGTGCTTGGTTAAACACTCATTTTCAAAATGGGCTGAGCACAATCTTGAATGTCTGGTAATTTTATGTGGTTCCATATCTAAAAATCTTATCCATGCAGAAAATCGCGGTGTTTCACGTTTGGGAAAGCTGAAATGTTATTTAACAATAATAAATATAGATAAAGAACTACTTTATAAGTTACATACGGATGTAAAGAAATCTTTTCATCAGGATTGGCAAAATTACCACAATAAATACAACTGAAAACCATGGCAAATTCTTTGAATGCACCACTGACTAACTGACTAAAATGGATAGATCTATGTAATAATAAACACTTTGAATTAATAACAAATAGTGGATAGCATGGCAATAACCTAACTGGTTAAGACACGATTTGAAGCCAAAGTTGACGGTTGACGTCCACGATTTGCAGCGAAATTTAAAGTAAACAAGCGTATATTTTCAAATATCTTCAAAAAAACCTCTAAAATTAAATAGCTATTTATTGGAATTCATGAGTTACCAAACAGGCATATTTTAATTAAGTAAATTCGAATATAAAATGTGGGAATATTTTTGAGTGGCGCTAGTGTGCTTCGAAATCGTTTCTTGTTACCTATATACTTTGTTTATGGTTAACCTATGTACTACGCGTAATAAATAACAAAATCAAAACTTGTGGGTACAACAAAATACCAAATTTAAAAAATGAAGCGAAAGAAGATGGCCACCACAAACAGCCATATTGATTTCTTTGATAAAAGATACAAATTCAATAACAACAACTGGTCATTACCCATGAATGTTTTTTCTGATGATCACTGGCAAATACCTGCACTACAAGCAAAAAGAGAAGAATTAAATGCAACAAAAGAAATGCTTAACAACTATGATTTGAGTGCCTGGTCATTTCATACGAAAAAAAGGGATCCAAGCACTATGATTATAAAAACAATAAGAAAGAATTTCAATCCAGAATTGCTCACTCAGGCCTGGTGTAAATTTTATGAATGTTTATCCAAATTTGATATAATCTCTCCCAAAGCTATTGAAAAGGGTACATTAAACAGTATGCATCTTTGTGAAGCACCAGGTGGATTCATATCAGCTCTAAATCATTACCTAAACACCAAATATATTAATTTAAAGGTAATAAAAAAAAGTTGCAGTATACATCTATACAAATATTAATTTTTTAGTTGCACTGGTATGCAAACACTCTGAATCCTTCATATGAGGGGAATCCTACAAATCAAATGATTCCAGATGACAGATTGATAGCTCACACCAAAGAATCTTGGTTGTTTGGGGCTGATCAGACTGGTGATATTATGAAATTCCACAATTATATACACATCACCAAAGAAGTGCTGGAAAAATGTCCAGAGAAATTAGATCTGATAACTGCAGATGGCAGTATAGACTGTATGAGTGATCCTGGCAATCAAGAACTTCATGTGGAACATTTACATTTTTGTGAAGTCATAACAGCTTTATCTCTGTTAAAAACAGGTAAAAACCATTCTAATATGATATAATAATAACTATTAAACTAACTTTTTCCTAGGAGGAAATTTTGTACTGAAAATATTCACCACATTTGAGGACTCAACTATCTGCTTACTTTATCTCCTCAACTGCGTTTTCACATCAGTATGTATAATAAAACCCATCACTTCAAAGAGTGGCAATTCAGAAACTTACGTTGTTAATCAAACATTCAAAGGAATTGATTATCTCACAACAATATGGCCGCATCTTCTAAACCACTATAAAAATCCTTGCAAAACAAAAGCCTTATTTGCTTTATCAGACATACCGGATAGTTTTCTCAATCAGATTACAGAGTGCGCTGATTATTTCATGCGCCTGCAAATCACCACTATCCATGAAAACATCAATCGTTTCGGGCAGCAGTCGAAACAATACAATTACAAACTGTTTCAGTATCAGACTGGAATTGTTAACAAGTTCTTAACCCTGCATCCCATACAATCACTTGACACTGAAGCGCGTATTGTTCCTGAACATGAGCTAAAACTAATGAGTTTGCGCAATGGATGTATGAAAAAGTCTGGTTTATTTAAATTATATAATAACCAAAACAAACGAAAATTAATTGTAACTTTGTTTGTGGGAAAAAGATTACGACGGTTTTCTATTCAAAATTTGCACGAGTTGAAGATCTACGCGATAATATAAAAACTAATATTTTAAACGAGTTATCATTGTTTAATCAATGTAAAAATCATATAAATAAGTCCTGTGAAGTAATTTCATGTGATTCTAGTTCAAACTTACATCAGACTTATCAGAATCATATGATTTTACGACAAATTCTATCACTATTTAAGAACAATAGCAATAAAAATGTTCTAATTATTAATTTAAGTCTGATTACCAACTTTACAGTTGGACTGCTGTTTATACTTTCACAAGCATATGATATTTACTTTTTATCAACATGGACTTATTTACTTGAAAAGTAAAAATGATAGTATTGGCTATGAACACACAAAAGAATGCTTAATATCAATAAATAATGCTGTTGTTAACATCACCAAAAGAGAAGAATTTGATAATGATGTATTAGAAGTGGTTGATCAATGTGTGTATGATAATATCTACTTTAATTGTGTACATTTTTACAATAGTCACTTATAACTATTGCAAATTACTTTTTTATTTTTTATTTACCATCCACTAAGCCACTTTTTCCTGGATTGTCTTCTTAGGGTATCTCCATCAAGTTTTTTAGGATCTTTTTGGAAAGCTTCAGTAGCTTGTAGTTGTGTTAAAGAGCCATCTGTTTTTGTGCAACAATAAGTTCTCCATTTTCTTTTAAATATGTACCTCTGCAATCTTTTGGGAATCCATTTGGGAAGGTGATTGGTGTGATTTTAATCAAGTGTTTGATGCGCCATAGACGCGCATTGTCTTCTGGGATGTTTTTTACAATGGCAATATCACTAGACTAAAATGATTTATGAAAATAATTTAAAAAGTATAGAAAATAAAATGGCAGGTTACCTTTCCCATTAAATTGTATTGTTTTAAGATATTTCTCTCCCAGTAGGGAGTACCTTTGATAGGTTTTATTCTTTGAACTTGGAATAATTTAGTTGGTTCATAAGGTGGATCCTTGAAATCTGGATATCTTTAAATCAAAATTGTTATAATGTGTAAAATTAAGAATATATAGATGTTTACCTGGGATAGTAGGTAAAGCCTGGGTATTTTATGCCGCCTTCATAAACGAAAGGTTTTCGTCCTCGGGCTATGCCAATGTTTCTTACACATAATGTTTTGATATTATTTGGTATTAGCAGACTCATTTTGCGGCCGGTGATAACTCCACAGAAATAAACCCTTGTTAAAATCGGCTTGAATTTTGAGGTTATACATTCATATGTTCATGATCGTATATACACTGGGGTATATATCGTAATACATCTAAAGCTATGTACATACAACTACGTATATATACATAGACTTTTGTACAATAGTATACTGCAGTGTAAAATTGGTTGCCTATAAAAACATGTTAAAATGGTCCAAGAATTCCACGTGATTCATTTTCTTCACTGCGGCTCCGTGTCCCAAATCTGACATATGTCAGACGGTCTACACGTTTTTCGAAATAATCACACCGATATTCTAAATATCCATTCGATTTTACGCTAATATGTCGAAAAAGAAGGGTAATAAGAAAAACAAAAACCAAGACGATGATTGGGAAGAGCCGGCAATCAGTGTGCCTGGAAAAGAAGAAAAAACTGAGATAACCTCGAACCCAGGTAAATCCAAAGCAGGTAAGAAAGGCAAAGGCAAAAAGAAGGACGATTGGAGCGACGACGAAAATGATAAGGATAAGGATCTGCAGGTAGTGGATGAAGAATCCATACCTGCACCTGTATCCAAAAAGAACCAGAAAAAATCTAAAAAGAAAAACATAGATATTGAAATTGAAGATGAAGCAGAATTATCAGACAATTCTAGCAGTACTATTTCCAAAACAAGTAAGAAAAAAGTTGGTGGTAAGACCAGCAAAAAAGGCAAGAATGATGATTGGAGTGATGATGAAAAAGAAACAAAGTTAGACCTGCAAATTGAATCTGATGAAGAAGTTGCCCAACCAATCAAGAAAAACAAGAAAAATAAGAAAAGCAAAAAGGAAGTGCCAGAGCCAGAACCTGCATCAGAAGATGAAGAATTAGAGGAAGAAGATATTCCTGAAGTTGAGGGAACAAATAAAAATGAGAAAAACAATGAAAAAACTAATCAGATTGAAGAAGAAGGTGATGGAGATGCTGCAGTTTCTGAATTGACTGATAAAGTAGTAGAAATGAAAGTAGAAGAGAAGAAATTAACCCACAAAGAGAAGAAAAAGTTGAAGAAGCAACAGGAGTATGACAAACAGATGGAAACAATGCTTAAAAAAGGTGGACAAGGACATTCTGACCTAGATAGCAACTTCACAGTATCACAATCACAAAAATCTGCCAATCAAATGGCTGCTTTAGAGAATGCAGTAGATATTAAAGTCGAAAATTTTACTATTTCTGCTAAAGGCAATGATTTGTTTGTTAATGCCAATTTACTTATTGCAAATGGCCGACATTATGGACTGGTAGGTCCTAATGGGTAAGTTTATCTTAAAATTTGATTTAAAACCGTCAAAATACTAAAATGAATAAATTTAGCCATGGAAAAACAACACTTCTACGGCATATTGCTCAACGTGCGTTTGCTATCCCACCAAACATCGATATTCTGTATTGTGAACAAGAAGTTGTTGCTGATGATTACACTGCAGTGGATACAGTGTTACGCGCGGATGTAAAAAGAACTTCACTGCTTGAGGAAGCTAAGAAATTAGAAGATAAAACAGATACAGAGTCACAAGAACGTTTGAATGAAGTGTATGATGAGTTAAAAGCCATTGGTGCTGATTCTGCAGAGCCTAAAGCCCGCAGGATTCTCGCTGGTTTGGGTTTTAGTAAAGATATGCAAGATAGAGCTACGAAAAATTTCTCTGGTGGTTGGCGCATGCGTGTGTCATTAGCGCGTGCTTTGTACATGGAACCGACCTTATTATTGCTTGATGAACCTACTAACCATTTGGATTTGAATGCTGTTATTTGGTTAGATAAGTAAGTGATATTCAACCACTTTTTTCATGCATTTTAGGAAGTATTAAATCTTTTTTGTAGTTATTTACAAACATGGAAGAAAACACTCCTGATTGTTTCCCACGACCAGTCTTTCTTGGACAACGTGTGCAATGAGATCATACATCTAGATCAGCAGAAATTGTATTACTATAAAGGAAATTATTCTATGTTCAAGAAGATGTACGTGCAAAAACGTAAAGAGATGATCAAGGAGTACGAGAAGCAAGAAAAGAAAATCAAAGAGATGAAAATGCACGGAACGTCAAAGAAGGCCGCGGTTAGTACACATTTTCGCCGCATGCAAACAAGATTTTTAAATTTACTGATATTTAATACAGGAAAAGAAGCAGAAAGAGGTGTTAACTCGTAAGCAAGAAAAAAATCGTAGTAAAATACAGAAACAAGAAGACGAGCCACAAATGACCGAATTACTCCAGAGGCCACGAGAATACATTGTTAAGTTTTCGTTCCCCGAGCCACCGCCATTACAGCCGCCGATTCTCGGGTTGCATAGTATGTTTAACCTCAATACTAATACTCTAGTAACTTATGTTGATTATCTTGTGTTTTTACTAGATGTGACTTTTTCATACGAGGGACAAAAACCGTTGTTTATCAACACTGACTTTGGTATTGACTTAAGCAGTCGTGTCGCGATTGTAGGACCAAATGGCGTCGGGAAATCCACTTTCCTTAAACTGCTTACCGGTGATATACAACCTTCGCAAGGTGAAGTTCGAAAAAACTATCGATTGGTAAGTTTTTCAAACTTTAAACTAATTTAAAACCGAAAAATAAATTTCTTTTCTTCATAGCGTATTGGAAGATTTGACCAGCACTCCGGTGAGCATCTCACCGCTGAAGAAACACCCTCGGAATACCTGATGCGTCTCTTTGATCTTCCCTATGAAAAAGCACGGAAACAACTTGGTACATTCGGGTTATCCAGTCATGCGCATACAATCCGCATGAAAGATTTATCCGGTGGTCAAAAAGCACGCGTGGCACTAGCGGAATTATGTCTAATGGCGCCGGATGTTGTCATCCTTGACGAACCGACTAATAACTTAGACATTGAATCAATCGATGCGCTTGCGGACGCCATTAACGATTACCAAGGCGGTGTGATTATTGTCTCCCACGACGAACGTCTCATCCGTGACACAGAATGCGCGCTGTACGTCATCGAAGACCAGGCCATCAACGAAGTGGACGGTGACTTCGACGACTACCGGAAAGAACTCTTGGATAGCCTCGGCGAGGTTATCAATAATCCTAGCATAGCAGCAAATGCAGCTGTACTCCAATAACTGTAAACAACTCTTTGTTTTGGATTATAATTGTTTTTTATCATCTAAAGGCTTAACGTTGAAATAAGAACAGTGCATTTTATTGCGGGCCGATCATACCCATACCCATGGGCATGTTCACCGCGTAACCCGCTTGTCCCTGGCCCATTTGCATGGCGGGTGATTGGATCTGCGGCATGGGCACTGACGTGTTGGATTGTTGCGACTCGGAAGGCAGCGTGAGATTCGAGAGTAGGTCACGCACGGCTGGGTACAGACTGCACTCCGAGTGGTTGGTCTGGAACTGCGCGAAGTGTTTGAGGAGGAGGCTGGCGGCTGTCATGGCCGGCGCTGGGCCAGCATCGCGCTTCTCTGCCAGTTGTGTAATATTAGTACTGATATCGTACACTAGGGGCAGTACTAGCGAAGGTGGTTCCACGTTGTTTTGATATTGCATTCCAATTCGCGTGATTTGCAACTAAACATTACACAATATCATAAAATTTCATTTTTACACTTATTAATCAGGTATTGACTTACGAAGAAGAGGATTTTGGTTTTATAAACCAAAATACTGGCCATTCCTGTTGGTACAATAGGCGTGGCTGAAGGAGGGATTCTCAGCGTCCATTGTACCGCCCATTTCATACCAGCAGCAAGCTGTGGCATAAGATCCAATCGAATAATCTGTATAAAATCTCTAAGTACGTTCACGGGTACGTTCAACATGCAGCAAAACCCAAACATGGAGTTTGGTTTGAAAGGTGGCGCTGCGGCACGTGTGTCGAAGAACTTTTCTAATATTTGCAGCTCTTCAGCGGACCAGATGTCTTTATGGTCTGGCAGCGGTGTGATTTTCAAATGTAACGATTGCATATGCTGCGGATTTAAAAACACTCTGCAGTGCAGAGTTTCGGCGACTTTGAAGTGTATCACTCCAGGTTCATTGGTGTTGATGGCTGTCAACTATAGGCAACACAATATAAAAAAATGGCGGAATACAAAAATTGTAAAATAACTTACATAACTTTCACTCTGAACATATCGTTGTAATTGACGCCGCATGTAAACACACCCCAGGAACCTCTCCAATGGAGCCAGTTCAGGCCCACTGAATCCCTGTGGATGTGATGCTGGGCAACACAATGTCTCCAGAGCTTCATGCGTGAGTAATGTGGGCACAGCACCGGCCCATGACCTTTGCGGTAGTACACGTGACAAATGCGCGCCTGTTTTATGATCTGCTTGTGGGCTATGCATAATAGGCCCACCGGGAGACTGCCCGGGTCTTGCAGGTGACGGACGTGGCACACTAGGTGATCCAGGCCAATTAGACGCAGCAGGAGACGCCATGCTTTGTGAGCTTGGAAATGGGCTACCATCCGTGTGTCCTCCGATAAAACTAGACACAGGTGAGTGTCCGGGTAGGTTAGTGACAGGTCCCGGTGACGGGTTAGATAATAACCCACCAGGGCTGGGTACATGTGGGTTTAGGGGTGAATTTGCTACTATTCCACCAGGACTGGGATGAGGCATATGCGGGCTAGGATTAACATTAGTTTGTAATGAAGTTGGGCTAAAGGAAGTGGCGGGAGAGGAACCAAAATTAGCATGTGCAGCCTGTCCACCCATATGTGGAGACGCAGGTGTATGAGGGTTTGAACCAGGTGGCGGTGTCAATGGATGATTAAAACGTAGTCCAGGTTCACGTCCTTGTGCAGGTGATTGTGGACCGCGATGATGACCCAAAAAACCACCTCCTTCGACTTCCATAGAAATAGGAGAAGGTGGATTGTCGTCTTCACTCTGTGATCGTCGACGAAACACCGCGGATTCATCCACGTACTTCGAAAGAAACGCTTTTAAACCTTGCGTTGGTGAAAATTCATCAACGACATTACTACGGTCAAACCGACTGTAAGCGCCATCTCTTAGCGAAACTAAACCCGCACCGCGTATTCTCAACTCCAGGCAATACATGCCCTGATATGACATGCGTATCAACGCACAACTTTGTGGGATAATGATGAATGTTTGCACAGGCACCGAGGGTCGCTGTAAGTATATAAACTGTTAGTTTAAAATACGTTTTAAAATAAATGAATAACTTACACTATGATGAACGCCAAGTTGTGGAAGCGAAGGCAACTTACTAATAGAAATCAACGGTTCGTAAGTCTCATACAAAAGTTGGATCAACTGCGCAAGATTCCTCGACACATTCAAATGCGACTCCAACTGCTCCTTGATCATAGAATGCGCATTCAACGCCGTAGTTGCACCAAAAATCAATTTAAATTGTTTCTCACTACTGCTCCATGTAATAGACATCATCGCACCCTTCTCCGGCCCGTAGCAAATGACCAACTTATTATAACTAAACGACTTGACGCTGAACATGCTCGAGAGGTTATACTTCTCAATCAGCATGTACTCACCAAGATCATGCGCAAGGGAATACAAATGCACAATCTGTGCCCAATCATACAATAACTTCGAGACACATTGTCCGATTTGATCCGTTGTGCCCATATCATATTGAAAATAAACCGGACGACGTGATCCTTGCTCCTTTGGATGCGTGCTTGGCAGCGGAGTGGAATAGAAAACAAATTCACACATCCAACTCTTCATTATGCCTTTTGTCTGCACGCGGATGGACACAGATAATAAACGTTTGAGTAATGAATACCAAGCAGCTGATTGTCCGATTTCTTTTGTAGGTGGTGGAAGTTGAATTAGTTTCAGGACTAATCCAGTCGCGTTTGCTTCAACTTGCAGACCTTGATGGAAAATGTTACGACGTGTTAACTCGTTTGCTAACGCAACGAAAGGCAGGCGTTCATCACACATTGCTACAACATGCGCTAACTCCGGGATAAAATACGCAGGTTGTTTAGCTCTGCGAATAACAGCTTCGGATTTGCCTGCTTGTGATAAACTCTTACGCTTTGCGCCTGGTTCGTATTGATCTTCGTTGCCGTCCACGCTTGTGAACGCACCGTGCGTCGCCACGAATGTATCCAGTTCAATTAGACTCTGCACTTGTCCCTGGCCCATTTGCATGGCGGGTGATTGGATCTGCGGCATGGGCACTGACGTGTTGGATTGTTGCGACTCGGAAGGCAGCGTGAGATTCGAGAGTAGGTCACGCACGGCTGGGTATAGACTGCACTCCGAGTGGTTGGTCTGGAACTGCGCGAAGTGTTTGAGGAGGAGGCTGGCGGCTGTCATGGCCGGCGCTGGGCCAGCATCACGCTTCTCTGCTAGTTGTGTTATATTAGTGCTGATATCGTACACTAGGGGCAATACTAGCGAGGGTGGTTCCACGTTGTTTTGATATTGCATTCCAATTCGCGTGATTTGCAACTAAACATTACAAAAAATCATTAAATTTCTTTTTTCACTAATTAATTAGGTATAGACTTACGAAGAAGAGGATTTTGGTTTTATAAACCAAAATACTGGCCATTCCTGTTGGTACAATAGGCGTGGCTGAAGGAGGTATTCGCAGCGTCCATTGTACCGCCCATTTCATACCAGCAGCAAGCTGCGGCATAAGATCCAATCGAATAATCTGTATAAAATCTCTAAGTACGTTCACGGGTACGTTCAACATGCAGCAAAACCCAAACATTGAGTTTGGTTTGAAAGGTGGCGCTGCGGCACGTGTGTCGAAAAACTTTTCTAATATTTGCAGCTCTTCAGCGGACCAGATGTCTTTATGGTCCGGCAACGGTGTAATTTTCAAATGTAACGATTGCATATGCTGCGGATTTAAAAATACTCTACAGTGTAGAGTTTCGGCGACTTTGAAGTGTATCACTCCGGGTTCATTGGTGTTAATGGCGGTCAACTATAGGCAACACGTAATATTAAAAAATGGCGGAAGACAAACATTATAAAATAACTTACATAACTCTCACTCTGAACATATCGTTGTAATTGACGCCGCATGTAAACACACCCCAAGAACCTCTCCAATGGAGCCAATTCAGGCCCACTGAACCCTTGTGGATGCGATGCAGGACAACACAATGTCTCCAGGGCTTCGTGCGTGAGTAGTGTCGGTACAGCACCGGCCCATGACCTTTGCGGTAGTACACGTGACAAATGTGCGCCTGTTTTATGATCTGCCTGTGGGCTATGCATAATAGGCCCACCAGGAGACTGCCCGGGTCTTGCAGGTGACGGCCGTGGCACACTAGGTGAACCAGGCCAATTAGACGCTGCGGGAGATGCCATGCTTTGTGAGCTTGGAAATGGACTCCCGTCCGTGTGTCCTCCGATAAAACTAGACACAGGTGAGTGTCCGGGTAGGTTAGTGACAGGTCCCGGTGATGGGTTGGATAACAACCCACCAGGGCTAGGTACATGTGGGTTAAGGGGTGAATTTGCTACTATTCCACCCGGACTGGGATGAGGCATATGCGGGCTAGGATTTACATTAGTCTGTAAAGAAGTAGGACTAAAGGAAGTGGCAGGTGAGGAACCAAAATTAGCATGTGCAGCTTGTCCACCCATATGTGGAGACGCAGGTGTATGAGGGTTGGAACCCGGCGGCGGCGTTAATGGATGATTAAAACGCAGTCCAGGCTCACGTCCTTGTGCAGGTGATTGCGGACCACGATGATGACCCAAAAAACCACCTCCTTCAACTTCCATCGAAATAGGAGAAGGGGGATTGTCGTCTTCACTCTGTGATCGTCGACGAAACACCGCGGATTCATCCACGTACTTCGAAAGAAAAGCTTTGAGTCCTTGCGTTGGCGAAAACTCATCGACGACATTACTGCGGTCAAATCGACTGTAAGCGCCATCTCTTAGCGAAACTAAACCAGCACCGCGTATTCTCAACTCCAGACAATACATTCCCTGATATGACATGCGTATCAACGCACAACTTTGTGGGATAATGATGAATGTTTGCACAGGTACCGAGGGACGCTGTAAGTATATAAACTGTTAGTTTAAAATACTTTTTAAAATAAATGTATAACTTACACTATGATGAACGCCAAGTTGTGGAAGTGAAGGCAACTTACTAATAGAAATCAACGGTTCATAAGTCTCATACAAAAGTTGAATCAACTGCGCAAGATTCCTCGACACATTCAAATGCGACTCCAATTGTTCCTTGATCATAGAATGCGCATTCAACGCCGTTGTTGCACCAAAAATCAATTTAAACTGTTTCTCACTACTGCTCCATGTAATAGACATCATCGCACCCTTCTCCGGCCCGTAGCAAATCACCAACTTATTATAACTAAACGACTTGACGCTGAACATGCTCGACAGGTTATACTTCTCAATCAGCATGTACTCACCAAGATCATGCGCCAGGGAATACAAATGCACAATCTGTGCCCAATCGTACAATAATTTCGAGACACATTGTCCGATTTGATCCGTAGTACCCATATCATATTGAAAATAAACCGGACGACGTGATCCTTGCTCCTTTGGATGTGTGCTTGGCAGCGGAGTGGAATAGAAAACAAATTCACACATCCAACTCTTCATTATGCCTTTTGTCTGCACGCGGATGGACACAGAGAGTAAACGTTTCAATAAAGAATACCAAGCAGCTGATTGTCCGATTTCTTTTGTAGGTGGCGGAAGTTGAATTAATTTCAGGACTAATCCAGTGGCGTTTGCTTCAACTTGCAGACCTTGATGGAAAATATTACGCCGTGTTAATTCGTTTGCCAACGCAACGAAAGGCAGACGTTCATCACACATTGCTACAACATGCGCTAACTCCGGGATAAAATACGCAGGTTGTTTGGCTCTTCGAATAACTGCTTCGGATTTGCCTGCTTGTGATAAACTCTTACGCTTTGCACCTGGTTCGTATTGATCTTCGTTGCCGTCAACGCTTGTGAACGCACCGTGCGTCGCCACGAATGTATCCAGTTCAATTAGACTCTGCACTTTTAGATATACCTTCGGAATTTCGGTCTCGATTGAATCATCGTTTGGATTATCCTCGATGCTTGAATGTTTCACTACTACCATGTAAAAATTACAGTCAATTTCACACTGACAAGATTCCTTCTCTTTGAATTCAGTAATCTAAAAAAATCAAATAACTTTTAATCAAAATTCATTTTAAAATTGTTATACATACCAAAATAACATTAGGATGTCGATGTAACTGCACATACATTCGATGTCTACCGATTTTATTCAGTGAATGATCAACATTATACAGCAACGGTAGTTTTTCATGTGCTGTCGCCGGTAAATGCTGCAAAGTTTTCTCGCACCTGCGCTGTGTGATCCAATATCGCAACTCGCTGAGCAATACGGGTAGCCTAGAGTGGTCGCCATTCAACACATTACTCAATTCTGGAATAAGCGGTGGTTCGTACTGCGGCACTTGACACTGCAGCATACCAGTATGTGTATCAACGGTGATCAACAACTGTTCAGCGCGTAAACACGGTTGCAAAATGGCGACGGACAAGATGGCGGGTGAACCTTGCAGCGTGCAGTCAACATCTTTCATCATACCTTGCAATTCTATCTTAACATCACTCAGACGGTTTTTTGTACGTACGTAGATAGTATGCACGAGTAAACGTTCCATGGAGAGTAATTCGGAACGAATAGCGCGGTCGGCTATTTCGCATTCTTTGTTACCTAAAGATGGTATATGCATCACCGCTAGAGGGCGCGCTGGGTCGTGCGGATCGACTTGAACAGTAAGTCGATAACCAAGTTCAGAGCGTGGATCTTTCGAAGTGGAATCTTTTCCTTTACTTGTTAACTCACTATAACGCATTGGATTAAATATATTAAACTTAATATAAATAACGTTATACTTACTTCCAGTATGAAATCGTAAGTGATTTGCCTGGAACATATTCATCTACATGAATGTGTTTCTCCAAACGATCACGCATCAATCGCAGCGTCTGCGAGTAGAGCACTTCCAACTGCAGTGATTGACAAAAAAAGTGCAGACAATGATAAACCTCCGTCAGCGGTGTAGGATTATCCACTAATCTGCTCTGTATTACTTGATGGATGTATTGAACTTGCAGTGAATGCACGAGTGCTTTACCATCGCCTGTTTCTTTGTCTTCAACGAGGATGTCGATTTCTAACAAACGCCAAGGTATGTTCTGACCTTCGCCCATAACAGTCAGAGAAACTTCAAATTCGTGTTCCACGTGGAATGTTACACGACCGTTTTCAATCTGAAAATAATTTAAAATAATTTAAAATGAAATTTAAGTGATTATCAATCAATTACTTTTAAATTTTTCATCTGAGGTAATAAATTCCCCGTTACTAAACGATGTTGAATAACTTGATTAAGTCGCAGTAGAGTTTGCCTCTTTTCTGAGTTTGTTATCGGGTCAGGAGGAACAATTTTCTCACGAATACAAGATGGAAGCCGGCCGTATGTGCCTGTCGTTAAGACTTCCACAGCTGCAGGGATGTGAAAGTTGGGTAATCTTGCTTGTACCAACGTTTCACGGGCCATTCGCGCTAACATATCCGCTGTATCCACGAATAACATCGATTGTTTGTCCAGGAACGCCATGATACGCTAGAAATTTAAAGAAATTAAACAAAAATCAACAAAAACATAGAATTGCATCATTATAATCAACTTACAGCTGATTTTTCCACTTTTGACGCACTGTTTGCCCATTTAACAAGCGCAAGAAGCCGCACGAACAACTGTCTCGTCCGCAGAGCGAAATTATAAATCTCAATTTTACGTTCCATGTCGGTTTTTCTTGGAAGTCTTAAAATATATGAATTTTTTGAATACATCCACATTAATATTTAATTATTTATTATTAAATTATATTCTGGAATACTTACAGTTCTGCTAACACAGTAAGTTCATGATAGGTTCGTTGTACAATGAAATCAATGAGCATTGCAAGTGAAATCATTCCACCACGGTTGCCCTCTTGCAGACCACCCATTCCTGCCTGCATCATGCTGTTTGCCACTGGCGTTTGTATTCCTTCCAGAGGTAACGGCGCCATATTTGCGATCAATCAACACTAGTTAATAAATTATTTTTTATCTTTTATAATAAATGTTAGAGAGCTATGTGTAAATAACTCTCCAAAATATCTGTGTAGATTGAGGTTATCGTCTGCAGGTTTCACTCCCACTGTGTACATATTGCATTATGTTTAGTTTCGGTAAACGAACTTGTTAAATTATGCTTAGAATGTTGTAAGCTTCAAGCTTTATTATTATAAGTTTATCACAATTATATATTAAGTAAAAACTTTAGAAACACTAAGGGAACTTGCGCAGCACGTAGGCTTGATTGTATTCAGTGCGCATCTTTTTGCTATTGGCCGCATCAGAGGTGTATTATGGGAAGCCTACCTTTGATGTCTACACCATTTTGAATATTCTCTCGGAAAATTTATTTGTTTTCGGTTTTAAACACGTAAAAAGTGGATTTATAATATACTAGTAGAGATGAAAAAATAACAAGTTTTTAGTTTTTTAAATAACACAGTTGCTTATAATACTTACAGTTTCAATCAATGTGCAGTAAATAGTAAATATAAATATATTATTAGTTATCACACGCAAAATTTAATATTAAATATCAAAGCAAAGCAATAAATAATTCATAGTGGCGAAATATTCAAATAAATAGCATTTGCCGCTAACCTAGCATTTTTATCTTTAAAAGTTTTCATAGTTTTGTCATTAACTATTAGAGAATACTTAGAGAGCAATAATGATAGAAATATCTTTGCTTGGAACAAAGCAAATTTGTTTCCTGAAAAAAAAAATTAACATTCAATAATAATTATTTAAAATATTAACTATATATTTAGATCATACCGATGCAGTTATGCCGACCAATCCCAAAAGGATGAAATGCTTCATGATGCGTAGAAGACGGGTCAAGGAATCGATCAGGATCAAACCGCTCTGGATTTGGAAAATATTCTTCGTCCATTAGAATGCCCCTGAGTGATCCTGCAACCAAAACTCCTTTTTCCACCGTCAAGCCAATAGATTCAATCGTGCATGTTTCATGACACTCTCGAAAGATCAATGGTCCGCCATTATGAAGTCGCATCACTTCTAAAATATTAGAAAAACATATTATTTGATTATTTATATTAATTATTTTTGCATACCATTCAATACACATTGCATGTAGGGCATGTTCTTTAAATTTTCATATGATACATCGCCATTTGCATCAATTGCATCCAGGATCTCCGAGCGCAGTTTGATTTGCACTTCGGGTGTCTTCGCCAGTTCGTAACATGCGTACGTCAGTAATGGCGTCGTTGATTTCAAACCACCGATAAAGAGGGCGCTCAAAACACCAATCATCTTTTCGATTTGTACCGTATCGTCTTTCGCACGGAAATCCATAAATTGTTGAGGGAATGTACCATCTAAGTAAGTGTGATTATTCAGAGTATATCTTAAAGACTTTCTCACTCTATCTTGCACACCTTGTGGAAACTCTGGTGCATTGCAAAACTGTAATAAACGAGGGCAATAATAACTCAAAATATCTATTAGTTTACTGCACAACGTCGGTTTAAAGATGGCAGTTTGCAATTCTTCGGTTTCTAATAATTCTTCAGGTGTTTGCGCTTCTCCCAGGAACAAAATCTGCGCGATACTGCATGCATAGTCATTTGCAAACTTGAAGAAATCTATTTCAGCATGATTAAAATCCATGTCCAAATTAATTATGCTTTGTTTCATGATTTTGTTAAATATCTTGGTATATTGTGACATTTTATTTGGAGCGAAGCAAGAATTTACACTTTTACGCCACTTGCACCATTCCTCACTTTTCATATTAAACAAATTCAAATTTTCCAGACTTTTCCCGTTGTGGTAACTTCCGCGATTACGAAAGTGCTGGAAATGCGTGAAAGCAATTTCCTTGAGAAGTTTCGGTGAAGCCACGAAGAGAATCGGCCGAGTTATGAGAAATGCACCCACGCACGGCCATTTTTTCTTGCGACACATCATGTACAATTGCATCATGTGGAAGGATACACGCCAATTGGTGAGGTAGGCCCATATATTCTGCTTACTCTGCGGGATGTTGAAATTGGACCAATATTTGAAGCTGCTTTGAATTTCCCAAAAAATCCATGCGATGATCACACAAATCACAATTAATACCACGATCATTTTGAACTTTTTAGACGTGAATAATATTTCGTTGAAGTTTCTGAACAGACTTCATGCACATGCAATAATAAAATAAGTTTGCGTGCGGGAAAACGATTATGCGCTGAGAATCAAGCGCGAATCGATTTATTAATAAAAATGTCACGAATCAGGGTATTCCCCGGGTTGTCTAGAACGAATTTGTCTAGAACTTTTTATGCTTATGTGATCAAAATATAGGCACGTAATTTTTAAATAAATACAGTTTAACAGAATAGTATACTACTAAACTAAACAAAATTGTGTAAAAATGAAGTGCATAATATTGCGCAATACAACTGACCTAATCAATTTGCTGTCAAATGCAACAACCTTGATTTCCAACTCAGAAGCGTTGATAGTGGTTAATAAGCAAAAAGGAAAACATTTCAATGACTCATTTCATAGTCTAAACACAAAATGCAGCTATTTACAATTATGTTATGTTGTTAATCGTTTGATTAATGTTATACGCTACCCAAGTTACCATTTTTGTGCTTTTTGTGTTTACAATTTGGGGAGAAATCAACCTCAGCAAATTAAATTAATTTCTGCGTAATTTAAAATGTATATTGGTATTCCCCTGTTTGTCTCAAAAGTATATTAGTCATAACCTCAAAATGATGACGTACGCGATATAAACTTAATACTTATTAATACATTTTGTAGATATTATCTTGTTTCTTGTTTTCGACCCATAATTAGTATAATATTACTAATAAAACATGACCAGCAGAGTAAAAATAAATTCTTTGTTTTTATTATTAAAATAAACATTTTAATGTAATGCATTCGTCAAGAAACCTTAAGTATAATAAGTATAGTTAGACAAAACGTGAGATATTAATCGTTAATCTCACAGAATTGATTCTTTGTTGTGAGTTGTCCACCTGTAAAACGCATTGCACAAACTAAACTTCATATTGAATCAAAATCATCAAACGTCTCTCCTGACTGTTTATACATTTTGATACATAGACAATGAGACCTAAACGTTTAAATTTAATTGTTAATAAACACACAGTGAAACGTTACTCGTTTCAATCGTTAAGTTTTCATTTCTTGCAAACTTTGCACCTAACTAATGTGCATAATCTTCATCTTGCAATTCGCCTTTCAATATATAAATGTATATAATTTCATATATTGTATATAATGATAATTAGATATATAGTAGATTTATCTATGTACATTTATTTACAATAGCTAGTTTTCTGTATTCTTCATTTAGTCGTAGGTATGCATTCAATCTCTAGGAAAATTAAGATCTATAAAATTCTACTAATATTTACATGCTTACCGCGTATAATATAAATATAAATGTGAAATAATTTAGTATCTTATGTTGCAACCTAATTCTTTGTCTCAAAACTTAAACTTACTCCTCCCAGTGCGATTATAATTCCATGTAAAATAAAACGTAAAGAAAATTCATCTTGCTCATCGCGTACCTCTGACATAACCTGTTTTCTGTCATAGTAGATGTGATTAATTTATTTTTGGTCTGTATTTTTATCCTTTGAGAAAATAGTACGTTACGTGTCCAGGTCATCTTCGCGTTGGCTAGAGAAGTACGAAACCAACCCACCGAATTCGCCATTTTCCTCTTCTTCTTGGTAGTTTTTAGGAGCGTCAGAATCACCAGCAAATTGTTGTTCTTGATAAGGTTGTGGTGGGACTGGTTGGTATGGCCCACCTCCCTCGGGATACTGAGGTGGATAATGGTAGTTGTACGGCGGGCGTTGATGCAACTGTGGTAACATTTGCGCATGTCGCGGTGGTAAACCTGCTGGTGGTGCGACTGTTGTAGGCGGGAAACGCACCATCGGTGGACGAACTATATACGCAGGTGGCGGTGGCGGCGTAGGGTCACTTTTGTTGCTCAGAGGTGATGCTGACGCGGGTGAAGTAAGCAATGGTGAGCTGCGTTCAGGTAACGGAGGTGCGCCGCCAACAGCTGGTGAGTTCTCCATTGGATGATGGAAGATGTGCGGTGGGACCAAAGGAGGTCTTATTGGTGGTGCGCCACTGCGGATAACAGGGTAGTGATTAGCAGCAGGTCGGAATGCGCCTGGGTGTAGACCTCTTGGTGGTAATACTAAAATTTTCATTAAAATGTAATTAATAATTTAATTTGATTAGAAAACTCATTAGATTGACTTACCTCCTGGTCCAGAAATAGCAAGAGAACCACCTGGGATATATGGATGCCCCGGAGGACGCGGTTCCGGGGGTCGATCAGGTCCAAAATTATGCGTGACACCTCCAACTGGATACGCTGGTTGACATGGTTGGTTTTGCAACATTCGAGTGATGACCGATGGTTTTGGTTGGCTTTGTGAAAATGGTTGTGGTGCGGAAGCAACACCCAACTTACCACCAACCATAGGTGGTATTTCAGGAGGAGCAGTTAATTTGCTATCCATTGGTGGTTTCTCCACAGGTTCTTTCGTTTCTGGAGATTTTGTATTAGCTGATATTTGTGGAAGTGGAGGAATTTGTCCTGGTCCTTGTCCTTGAGGTGACACTTGAGCTAAAGCAGCTGCTGCAGCGGCTTCCTTCTCCAGGGTTTTCTTCCCTTTACCGCGTCCACGTCGCTTTTTAGGTGTACCATCAGCGTTGAAACTCATCTCGGAATCATCTGATTTATCACCTGTAGATGGTGTGGGTAAATATGGTGGTGTAGGATTAACTTCCGGTGACATTAGCTGGGACTTTGGTTTCCTGCCTCGTTTCTTTGGAGTATCTGTACACATCATCGGAATTGGATGTTGCAGTGGTGGGGGTGTAGGTTGGAGTAAATGTTGCCGTGGTTGTGATGAGATCTGACCACTTTGATGATGTAGAGGTGAAAGTTGATGATGCATTGGTGGAATGGGTTGCAATTGCTCCGGATGCATTTGATGTAGTTGCGACATCATTTGGGGTGGCATGACCACTGGCATTGCTTGTATCACCGATGGTCCAGTCACGGGTACTCTTTCCTGTGGTACTGGAACTGCTGCAGGTGCTTGTGGTAATACATCCATCCTTCGTGCTTCCATTTCTTTCCTTCGTTTTTCCTTCTCCAACTGCGCAGCAACCAACTGCAGTTGTTTATTGGCGTATTCCTCCTCCTCCATCATCATGCCGATTTCTTTCTCGTCCATTGCCTCCAAATTCTTGTTAATTTGTTCAATTGTAGGTGTATCACCAGATTCAGCATCAGGTAGAGGAGGGAATAGTGCTTCTTCTTCTTCACCTTGAGCTCGCTTTATCCGCTTGATACCTCCTTTACCTTTTCCCTTTTTAGAACCTTTCTTCACCGCTGGAACTAAACCACCTATATTGGAATCATCGCTGGACCTATCCTCACGACCCTCTTCATCTTGAACATCATCTTCTTCCTCATTCAATACAAATTCATCCTCGCTCTCTTCATCTTTAACCTGGTTTCTTCTCCGTGCACTTTCCTCTTCACTATCCGTACCTAATGCATCGAGATAGTTTATTTTCTTGCCTCTGGTCCGTCGTTTGCCACCATCATCATCATCCACCCCACTAAACTTAATTTTCGGTTTCTTTTTCTTATAAACATCAGGATCTGAATCGTCGATGGTTTTCTTCTTCGATTTCTTCGGTTTTGATTGAGATATGTTTACTTGCTTTGGCTTAGCTGCACCGGTGCGCTTCTTCTTCCTACCCCAAGAGCGGTCGCTTTCCTCCTCGGACTCATCACTCTCCTCCCAGTCAGATCTCCCTCGTTTCCCACGTGGTTGATCGGAATCTTCAGAATCATCGTTGATGAATTCACGATCATACCGGCGAATTCTCGCTCGAGTAGATCTACGCACTGAACCACGACCCTTCTTCTTCCTACCAATAATACTGCTATTGCTGCTACTTTCATTATATTCGTCATCATCATCATCATCCTCACTGGAAGACCCTTTGAAATCTTCATCAGAATCTTCATCCTCCTCACTGCTAATATCCAGACTATTCAATCGCCGGTGTTTCTTCTTTCCAAGCACTTTCCTTACAGGTTTGATATCTTCTTCATCAGACTCATCATCTTCTTCATTCTTTTTCACTACAGGTTCAGTTTGTTCCTGCATATCAGCCTGCTCAATGGTCGCCATATCTTTTCCTCTAATTTGAGGTTCATTTTCTTTCTTCACTTCAATATCTTCCTGTGTAGCAGACTTGATAAGCTCATCATATTCTTTAAACTGATAACTATGCTCTTGTCGCCTCTGCCGCAGTTTATAAATAGGTTCATCACTATCAGAAGAACTCGAACCAGACTCACTGGATGACCCTGATTCTGATCCTGATTGTGAGGCTGAGTCACTAGAATCCGAAGAGGACTCATCTCCGGATATCCTAACTCTGGGTTTTCTAATACGCTCCTTCTTCACCTTCGCCGCGTCATTTTCAGTCTTCTCAGGTAATACATTCGCCAAGCTAATTCCAACGTAAGCCAATCGCTGTTTCCTCCTCAGTTCGACTTCTTTCTTACTCTGTACCTTATCAAATTCCACCAATTTATCTTGGAGTAATTTTACTAAACTGGTGTGTTGACATGGCGGACAATACCAGTCTCCTTCAGGAATAACCAATAGCGCAGGTCGTAGGCAGCTGCAATGCCAACCGGCATCACAACCATCACACAAGAGTATCCACTCTGGATGATCAGACTTATTACACTTTTGACAGTTTGTGTCATCTATTTCCTCTTGCTCTTCATCTTCTTTGCGCACTGTTCTTGCACGTTTCAATGGTTGGGGATCAGCGGCATTTTCCAAATCACTTTCTGGAGAAAATTCATGATCTGATTTCACTGTTTCTATATAATTCTCTTCCTCTTCCTCCTCTTCTTCCTCAACATGTGAATCCTCTGAACTAGAATCCGAACTGGTTCTCCAAGGGTTCTGCTCATCGAATTCTTTATGCTTGCGTTTCTTCTTTTTCTTCTTTAACTTTTTATCGTCCATTTCAGTGTCATTGGTGGTTTCATCTTCGGTGGGTATTGAATTACGTTTTCGTTTCTCGGCTTTGTAATCTTTATCTTACAATACCAGTCTCCTTCAGGAATAACCAATAGCGCAGGTCGTAGGCAGCTGCAATGCCAACCAGCATCACAACCATCACACAAGAGTATCCACTCTGGATGATCAGATTTATTACACTTTTGACAATTTGTGTCATCGATTTCTTCTTGTTCTTCATCTTCTTTGCGCACTGTTCTTGCACGTTTCAATGGTTGGGGATCAGCGGCATTTTCCAAATCACTTTCTGGAGAAAATTCATGATCTGATTTCACTGTTTCTATATAATTCTCTTCCTCTTCCTCCTCTTCTTCCTCAACATGTGAATCCTCTGAACTAGAATCCGAACTGGTTCTCCAAGGGTTCTGCTCATCGAATTCTTTATGCTTGCGTTTCTTCTTTTTCTTCTTTAACTTTTTATCGTCCATTTCAGTGTCGTTGGTGGTTTCATCTTCGGTGGGAATTGAATTACGTTTTCGTTTCTCGGCTTTGTAATCTTTATCTTCATCCTTTTTGTTTTTCCTTGATTGGGATTTCTTCATTTCGTCCAAAGCGATCTCCTCGAGTTTACGGCGTTCGGCTTCCTCCTTGATTTTGATTTGTGCAATTCGTCTGGATTGCCTTAAACCAGTGGGAAGTACCACACCCTCTTCGGGAATCTCCAACCCCATCATTAAACGTTTCCGTTTCTGCCTGGGTTTCTTCTCCGGTTTTTCAGCAGGTGACTCATCTTTCTTTTTCTCTTCATCGCTACTACTTATGTCTTTATTTTTAGCATCTTCAATACTCTTGCGTAGATCTTTATCGAAAGTTCGTTTTCCTCGAACCTTTCTACGTTTTCCACCAGCTTCCTCATCTTCTTCCTCTTTGGGAAGTTCTTCAATGGCACCACGCTTAAGTGATCTTCTCGCCAAGGCATGCACATGACTCAAATCAGGCGCTTCTCCAGTATAATCCAGAGTAAACGACTGCAAAGAAGCTTTTTTGGGTTCTTCACTTTTATCTTCAGATTCAGTTCTAGTTTCTGCTAAGAGATCTGTTTTTACTTCCTCGGAAACAGATTGCTTGTCAGTAAATTCACCGCGTTCTATTATCTCCCCATCCTTGGATTCTTCCAAATCCATTGGTTCCGAAACGTTGCCATCATCACACATCATACCATCACTGTGATCATCATCAGAACCAAGCAATGCGATGTTCTGCTTTTCACATGGACGTTCCACAAACTCTGCACCGACAGATAATTGTGGTCCGGGTTTAGGAACTTGAATCTCCAGCACGGAAGGCGCATTTGTTGCTTGACGAATTTTCACGATGTCTTCCTCTTCGCCTATTGGACAAATTTGCTTTTCGATAATACCAATTTCTTGCAAATTATTCTCATCCGGTGGTTTCTGCTTATTATACCCACTGGTTGACATTGATCCGATTTCTTGAATTATAACAGGTTCATCCATAGTGTCCTCTGTATTTTCTGGTGTCTTTGTAACTGAATTGTCTTCATTTTCCATGAGAAATGATTTCGCAACGCTTATTTCTTCAATCTGTTCTGCTGATTCATAGGTGGTAATTGGAGGTACTACTTCTGGTAGAATCGGAGGTTTGTTCATATATGATAGGTCCATAAGTGATTGGTGAATCAATTTAGGCATCTCCATAGGCAACGCAGGCATTGTTAATGCTGCAGGGGGAAAATATGATGGTTGGTGCCTGGAGAGATCCTCAGCATATTCGATTTCAGGATGTAATTTAGGAATATCTAGATCTGCTTTGGTTTGGATTCCAGGGCCTTTACTACAGCTTAAATCCAATAATTCTTCAGGATTTGCTTTATCTTCAATGATTGGCTCTTTGGATATTTCTTTTGAAGACTCTGTAATTATAGCTTCTTTTTTGTTTTGATCTTTGTATTCCGAGGGATTTTCTTTGATAATATATTCTTCAAGTGGCGCTGGTATGATGGAAGTATGCGTGGGTATTGTTTGCGATTGCTCTTCAATTGATTCATTTACTATATTATCCGGAGACAAATATTTAGCGCTTGTTGTAGTACGCACTTGTGTTTCTTTAGGCACTTCATTTATTAGTTTACTGATACTATGAGAAGGTGGCACTGGTACTTCAACCTCGATCTCTTCACGTATTAATTTGGTTGTATCAGCAGGTTTTTCTGATGTATCTACAATTGGAATATCTTTTGAAACTTTTTCGTTTACTGGGTCTGTTGAAGTGATGGTTGCAGTTACTTCACCGGTAATCATAGCATCATTTGTATGAAACTCTGTGTCCAGTGTAACCTCTTTTTGTGTTGAACATACTTCTGCTAGTGTTTCAACAGGTTCTTTGTCTTGGGTTGTATTGGTTTCTGAAACTTCTTTAGGAGCAATGTTAACTTCAGAAGTAATTGGTAATCCTTTCTCCAATTGATGTGAGTTATCTGTTTTCACTTCTGTTGTCTCTAAAACATCCTCCTTGTCATTGACGGGCACTTGCGATTGTTTATCATCTGGAATTATATTTTCTTCGGAAATAACCACCGGGACTTCAGCTTTTGATTTAATATCGTCAAGTGGTTCCGTGCTGACAGTTTCATCTGTTCGGATTAAAGAAACTTCAGATTTTTGTTCAGTGCGTTGTTCTTCTGTATGAGATAAACTTGTAACGACCGGAGTCGCAATAATTTCCTCCTCGGGCAACTGCGGCTCCTTTGAATCCTCAGTTGCTATCTGCATTGAATCATCTTCACCAACGGCTTTATCTTCTATATTATCATTCGGTGGTGTTAGCATAGGAGAATCTATTTCAGAACTATTTTCTACGCAAGCATTTGAAACTTTGTCTTGTTCCACTGCCGGGATCGTAGAATTTTCTTCAATATTATCGGTTTTTCTGGTAGGCAAATCCTCATTTGTTTCCACCAGTGAACTATCTTGTAACGGCTCTGCAACGTTTTTTCCTTTACTCGATTCTTCATCTTTATTGTCAGTTAATGGTTCAGCATCTAACGAAGGTGTAATGTTCACAGTTTCTGAAGGAAGATGGGAAACGTCATTATCTACAACTGAATTCGGACCTGTAATGTCCGTATCTGTCGACTCTATAGATTTCGATTCATTACTACCCTGAGAATCAACAAGAGGTAATGCAACTTGTACTTCAGTTTCTTCCTTCAATTTAGTTGTTTCAACTTCGGAAACAGCGTCCATTTCAATAGATTCAGAAATTTGATTTGTATCCTTTTCAATCTGAGGTTTCTCAGTAGTATTAACTGCTTCAGGTGTTTCAGAAACAGAAGATGAAGGTTCCACCGGTTTAATTGGACTATCAAGATTCGTTTCGGGAATTCTATTATCTACTTTTCCCTCGTCTATAGATTTAATCTTTTCTTCTTTAGTTTTCGATGATATACTATCAGTTTCATCAGTATTTAAAGTAGCATCCACTACAACTTCCGATTTTTCCTCTAAATTAACATTTTTTACATTTCCCTCCTCTCTACTTTCAATAACTTCTGATTCAACGATAGCATTTTCATTTGTTTTCGCTTCATTTGATTCCTTATCATTTACAGTAAGATTCTCAGGCGTAACATTAACCATCACCTGGTCAATCTTAGATTCTAACTTATCTACCGTATTTACAACTTTCGCAACAGATGTCGAATTCTCCACCGTTTCCTTCTCATTCACTTCCTGACGTGAAACAGCATTACAACTTGCAGAAGAATTAGCTCCAAATCCCATGGACGCCGAAGACTTCACCGGCGGCGGTGCTTTAAAACTAAACCCAGACCCAGGCCCAAAGAAAAATTTTGGTTTAACAACCACCTCCTCTTTGTTAATACTCTCAAACTTATCCACTAAACTCTTCACCGTCTGCTTATCCGCCTCATTCGTATCATTATCATTTGGTTTACCGATATCCCAGCGTGATGCCGCGTTTTTCGTCGGGGACTTATCCCTCCCATCAGTCTTCGAATCAATGATTGTCCCCAACTTAAAGCTATTCTTCGTGGGTGACCTAATACCCCCCTTCTCCGGAGAACTGTTGGCACCTTTCGTACAAGCAACCTCCTCCTTCTTCTCTTCATTACCAGTCTCACACTCCCGCCCACTGCCTTCACCATACACAAACATCACCTCCTCTTCAATGACATCCCCTACAATTGGATTCCCACACTTATTATCCCTACCAGCGCCTTTGCCGGTGACTAACATGAGTGGTTCCTCAATGGCTTCACCAACTTCATCGTCATCATCATCATCTTCATCATCCGCATGTTCTTCCTCTTCCTCCTCATCGATTTCTTCTTCTTCCAGCTCTTCATCATCGAAATCTTCTTCATCTTGCTGATAAGGCTTCTTTTTATTTCCTAATAATGTAGGCCTTGCTGTCCGGGGACGTTTCACAAGACTGGGTTCATCTAGGTCTTCATCCAACGGGCGTTTTAGATCAACATTAGTGATGCCAATATCAACGAATCCAGCACTTTCCACCGCTTTGCGATTAGATTGTATAAAATTATCACTCCAGATGTATTTCTCTTTAATTCCGCTTAACTCCGTCTTTTTATCTTCTTGCGGCGTGATTAAATCCGGCATTTTCGCGTGGATATCTTTACCTTCCATTTTGGTGACTTCATCATCTACTTCCTGTGTTAATTGAGGTGGTTTGTCATCATCTGAAGAGGACTTCTTTGAACTATTGGAGTCTTGTTGTCCTGTGTCCAACACTGTTTTGGTTTCTTCATTGTTGCTATTGCTGTCTTCATTGGTAACAGCATCAGTACTGGATGAATCTTGGTTGTCATTCAACTTGGAGATTAGTGTTACTAATCCTTCTCTATCCCTATTGAATAAAAATAATTATATTTTGTTTTAGATAAATTTTTAATTACTTACTTTGCAACTAAAGCCCATGTTTCTTCATCTGGATCTTCTTTGTACACTCTAAGCTGACAACTATCATCAATTTGATACCAATATGCATTGCCCAACTTATCTCTTCCAATTGGATGAGACCTCAGCTCCTTTGCAGTGATAAGATTGATCTTATTCTTGAAAGATGTGTTATTATCAAACTGCATTTCTAATAGTTCCTAAAATTAATTAATTTTTAGTTAATTTGTGATTATTGCATGTTTTAAAAAAACTTACTTTGAGAAGTCTTAATTTAACGGAGAGTCGAGACTTTTTATAGCCGAATCTTTCAATTTCCCAAGCATCCTGATTGCTGTAAGTGTGACAAATTTTCACAACTCCACGCTCCCATCGCTCGGCGGTGACGGATTTCTTCACTTTTCGCATCAACTTTATATGCAAGTCGATTAAAACCGGAGACACTGCAACCACCGCAAATACGCAAATATAAATTTGAGGTTAGTGTTGATTACTTTTGTTATTGTTTAACTTTGTTTATATTCTTTAACGCTTTCATAATGATTATTATATTGTGTGTTATTCTACGTATACAAAAATGAATTGGAGAATTAATAGAGGCATGTAACGTTTGTTTGTTTTTGTTTTGTTGTGATTTGTGATTGAAGGTTTGCTTGTCCTTGATCGCACGGCGCAACCGCGGGAGGAACATTGCTTACCTTCCTTCACGTTCTCCAGCATCTGCTGCAGGTCGACGAAATCGACCGCCTGAAGGCCGCACGCCGTGCCGAACTTTTCGAGGAAGGCGCAGACGACGGCGAAGTTGGGGTCCGCGTCGCAGGACGCTTCGTTTTCGGACGCCATTTGCGTCGTCCACCGCTAACCATTCGTGCTGGATGCACTCAGGGGATCGAAGACGCCCGCAAGTCGACAGAGACTCGTTGGTCGCTAAATGGATGCCGCCGGGCACGATTTTCACTACACTGCGGTCGACGAATGCTGCACGTACGCGAATTCCGGTGGTTTGTTCATAATATCGAATCGATGCGAGGATCACGGGCCACGGACGCGAAGAGCTGCGCTTGCAACAAGCCGTCGGCGAATGACGCGGGTTGTGACGGCGGCCGCTGAGCGTGGTACTGGCGCTGGCGAGCCAAAGTTGTTGTCATTTATCAACATAACCTCAGTGACCCCACATTAGGAAAAACAGTTTAGTGAAACTTTATTTGCTACCAAATCTGTGTGTACTAAATTTATTAATATGTACATTCGATGTTTCTTAAGAAAAATGTTTTTAAACCATACTTTAAAATCCTGTGATTGTTTTTTTATAAGAAAAATTCAAAAATTCAAACTTTACAAGCTGTCAAAAATGAAACAAAATTTTGACAGCCTCTGACGCTTTGACAACTATAAATGAGGTTACAATTTATGAAAATATTGTTAACATAGTTAACTTTCCGCATATTTATTTATTTATCGATGTACTATTGTCAATTTTAATCGGAATACATGAATTCAGGGCTGGAAATGTAAGTTCTCCTATCTACTCATCACGTTACTTTTACTTTTCACCACATCGCATTGTTTTGCTTTAGATGGCAAAAGACACACTTGACCCTGATAGAAAGTTCAAAGAAGACCTAGAAAGGGCCCAAGCACTCAGCCTGGAGTCTCTCGCACTGGAGAAATTCAAGCAGCGGCATCTGCAACAACGCAACATATCGAACAATACCAGTAATGCAGGAAAAATAACCAAACCAGGTAAAAATTACAAATGTGATAAGTTTTTGTAGCTATTTTCTTATTGTTTTGCTTATATTTAGTTGTGCGGGCGTCATCTATGAATGAATCCGACTCAAACAGACCTGAAAGAGATGTGCAAATCAAAGGCAGGCCAAGGCCAGGCACAAATGTTGGTGGCAATCCTATTAATCAAAGTTTAATTGCACCACCGCCAACTACAACAAGACGCAACAGTACTGCTACTTCTCCATTGGATAGCACAGATGGGGACCATCCAGATTTAATATCATTTAGCAGTCCACCACAAACAAATGAAATTATGGAGCTTTACAAGTAAAATTTTATATTTTTATGAATTTTTTTGTTAAAATAATTTATTTTAAATTTGTTTCAGTTGTAATCTTAACCAGGCATTGGTCCCAACCACCCCTAACCATCAACCATCAATGCCTTATATAAATCAACCAATGCCCACCAACAACCAGTTTTTCAACTCACCGCGCTGGTCACTCTACGGGCAGAATGTACAATTCAATAATTCCTTGCCACCGGGACCGAAAAACGTGAATACATTGAAGAATGTTATGCTGTGCAACAATATAGGCTTGAGTTCGGAAACAGCGTTTAATAAACCAGCGGTAAATGCTCAGATGCAGCAGCAGACGAATCATGCATTGACTTTCAGGAGTAATTCAATCACGCAGCAATTTGCGCATCACTCACCGGTGTCATTACCACCGCCTGCCAGTGTGTCTATCATTCGCCCACCACGGGTAAATATTTTACGTATTCAGCACGAATTGTTACATATATGATTCCTTTGTTCTATTCATTCATTCTTTTTGTAATGTTTGCTTGTGTTTGAAGCCTCTAACACCGTCAGCACCGTCGCCGCCCGTCCTACCTCCAAAGAATCAAACACGTGAGCCGCCTCCGGTGCCACCATCGACCAGTTCACACTATAAACCAAGGAAATCAACAGGGAATTTGATCGATTTGACACCAACGCATCTTGATAATCGCAATAGTGTACGTGTAAGCATCCTAGAAGCGTTTGATCCGTTAACAAATACGACTAGTGACTACGCTGATATGGGAGCACGAACAATAAGTCCTGATTGTTCAGGTAAATAGTATCAAACATTATTTGATGCATGATTATAATTTGTAGTTATGTTATTTATAGTGGACGACAGTGCATCGGTGTGTGACAGCGTGTACAATGATTTCGATCCGTATGATTTTATTTATTCTGGTTCGGGGAGTAACAGCACATCGGATCCGCTGTATGCATCCGTAATCAGCGCTCCTACATCACCACCGCCTGTGCCGCCTGCTCGTACTCTTGAACGTAGGGAGAAGGAAGACAAGGTTGATACATGGGTAGGCAACACACATCACACCACATAATAAAACATGATTTTAATGAGTATTTATTATTTATTATATGTAGACAAAACGTTCATCGAAATTGGTTGATTGTATCAAAGTGATGAATCGTCGACAACATCCAGATGCTGAGCTGACAGGGTTTTATCAAATGGTGCAACAATTACGAAGTAATTGCACATAACCTTAAACTTTTCATAACCAATTTTAAATTGTTTATTTTTTACTAGATAATTTCAAATATGATTCGCCCAATACCAACATGGGACTCGTGATGAGCCCCATGGTTGATTATCAATACAAACAAGACACCAGCATCAAATTGTGTGTTTATCCGCAATTTGAGGGCGCTGATATGGGCAAACCGATTAGTTTTACGTGTGACGTCACTTCCAGTGTGCAACATGTCACATTACAATCGACTGTGGATCTAGAAGCGCCTTCCACCGATCAGTATACGCTTAAAGTGTGGCAATACAACGAGTATCTAGCACCGTCCACTCTCCTCTCTCAATATGAGTATGTACACAACTGTATTAAGTTGGAGCAGGACGTGGTTTTAGTTTTGGTACCAGATCGAGATTTAGATAAATCCTTAAAACGGACTGTGAGTTGCCTATATATTAAATTAATTTTGTGGTTTAATAGAAAATTTATTTTTCTTAGTTACAAGATGATAACTGTGATAAAGAGATTAAGATTGAGCATATAATACCCAAGGAGCAGAATCCTAGTATATCGTACGACCATTTGAAGATTTTATTAGAGACATTCGAAAGCGAGGTGGAAAAAATCGTTCATCTTTGTGATGAGATTGAAAGAGGTGATAAAGATTTACAGCTGTTGCAAACGCAGAGCCTGCGACAGTCGGTGAAATTAATCGTGCAATTAATGGGAGCGTTGGAGACCATTGAGATTTCGGAAGCGTTGGAGATTTGCGAAGCGACGTGTCAGAATTATTTATGCACCGCAGAAAAATGGAAACTGAGCAATTTAAGCAACTCTATAAGTTCAAATTGCGAGAAGATTAGAGATGCTTTAAAAATGTTGATTAGGATGTATTCTAAAGCATTTCGAGTGGATTTTGAGTTGAAAAACTACGATGATCGCAATTGTAAGTCTCCAAAATACAAAATAATGAATATCTAATGATTTATAAAATGTTTTAGCGTCTTGTTTAGTATCTGCTGTTACTCATTCGGTTGTAATCCGCATCTGCGCGATATACCGCCCGTCGAACGCGTGGAACTACGACAGTTATGTCATCGGTGCTCGGATCTTTCATGGTACGCGGCCATTGGGTCAATGGGAGCATTCACAACCAGTGGAGTTGTCTAAAGGTATGTATCCAAGGGTATTGTTTAACTGCTGGATGGATATGCAACTTCCGGTTTCGTCGCTGGCGAGAGAATCACGTTTAGTGTTGGTAATCCGCGGTAGATGTCTCTCGGAACAAGAGAATAATGACAGCGCGAAGAAACAACCCATGCCGCAGTTCAAAGAGGATGAAATTGGGTGGGCATCAATGCAATTCTTCGATTATTCAGGGTAAGTCTTTAAATTATTCTTTTAATTCAGTAAATCGCAATATTTCATCATTTATATAGCGTAATGGCAATTGGTAATAATTTATTATCAATATGGCCGATGGAGTTGAATTATGTATTTGGTCCTGCGCCTTCGCCCGGAACATACCCAAACGCAAACCATCCAGTATTATGCATTCAATTGGATGGCCCGTCGAAAACTATATTCCCACCAGTCATTCCAACAAAACCCCAGCAGGTTTATGATCTGAACAGTCTAGACCATCAAACACAGAAAGAATTAAAAGATGCTATTGATATGGATATGTTATGCAAGATTCCAGTGAAAACTCGTGAAGTGCTCTGGGAGAAGCGCTATTATCTCATTAGAATACCCCGTGCATTAACAAAAGTTCTCTTGGCTGCGTTGAGTTGGGAATATGCTAAACTTGCAGAATTACACGGCATGCTCAGTTCTTGGGCGCCATTGAAACCTGTGGATGCAATTGAATTGTTATTACCAACATACCCTGATATGGAAGTCCGAAAATATGCAGTGAAGTGGATAGCACCGATGACTAGTGATGAGTTGGTTGACTACCTTCCGCAGCTGGTTGTTGCGCTACGACATGAAAACTTCGAAGATTCTCCGCTTGCCAAGTTTTTGTTGGAACGCGCATTGATATCTCCTCGAGTCGCACATCATTTGTTTTGGTTGTTGAGTCATAACCTACCCGGGGCAAATCCGCAGAATTACGAATATGACAGCGAAGAAATGGATTTTACTTGTATCGCCGAGGTTAGATATCATCGCCGGTTATTATTAATGTTAAGAGCTTTACTTGCAATTTGTGGTAATGCTCTGCGGACGTGTTTCTTTAGTCAACAAATTTTAGTTAAGGTACGTTTAAATTTTAATTCTTATACTTTTATTGCACAACATCCGCCATTTTATTTTTTTGACAGGAATTGTTTGAAGTTGCGGTTTCTGTGCAAAACACCAAGGATTCTCAACGTTTGTCACTCCTAGACCGTTCTTTACGCAACGTGCATTCTCTCCTAGCAGAGCGTCCGACAAGTCTTCCTTTAAGTCCAACTTTACGCGTTTGTGGTATTAATACTTCTGCGTGTTCCTACTTCCCATCATACACGCTTCCGCTGAAAATATCCTTCCTCGCGCAGGACGGCTCAAACATCCCCGCCATCTTTAAAGTCGGCGATGAACTTCAACAAGATATGCTCACGCTGCAAATTATCCGCTTGATGGATAAACTATGGTTGAAACAAGGGTTGGATTTGAAAATAGTTGCTTATGGCTGTGTGCCAACTGGTAAAAGGCGGGGGATAATTGAATTAGTCACAAAAGCGGAGACTTTGCGAAAAATACAAGTGGAACACGGTTTGACAGGTTCTTTCAAGGATAAACCGATTGCGGAGTGGTTGGCGAAGCATAATCCATCCGAATTGGAATATGGCCGAGCTGTGGAGAATTTTACTGCGTCTTGCGCAGGATACTGCGTAGTAACCTACATTCTGGGTATCTGTGATCGGCATAATGATAATATTATGCTTAAAACTTCCGGACATTTATTCCACATTGACTTTGGGAAGTTTTTGGGTGATGCACAAAAGTTTGGCAATTTTAAACGGTAAACATACACAAACTAACCAAAAAATCTTATAAATAATTTTTTTTATATTTAGTGATCGGTCGCCATTTGTATTAACCTCTGACATGGCCTACGTCATCAACAATGGCGACCGCCCGTCGGAGAAATTCCACAAGTTCGTAGATTTATGCTGCCAGGCGTTCAACATCATCCGCAACAATGGCAACTTGATGTTATATTTATTCACACTGATGGCGTCTTCAGGAATGAAGGGTGTAACAACAGAAGCTGTGTCAAATTTACGAGACGCTTTAATGTTAGGACAATCCAACCCTGAAGCGGCTGCGTACTTTGCACGCCTTATTCAAAGCTCACTGAAAAGCTGGTTCACACAGTTTAATTTCTTCCTGCACAATTTAGCCCAGCTCAAATTCAACACAGATGGCGCTGAAGGGGGTGAGACACTCAGTTTCGTACCGTATACCTACAGGTATTATTCATATTTATTTATAAATAAGTCCAATTGATAACAAATACATTCATTCTTTAATATATAGCATGGTAACAGATGGAAGGATCGTTGAAGTTCAAGTAGAGAATTACAAAAAGTGCTACGACCCGGATAAATATTACGTGTACATTTTGAGCGTGTTCCGTGAAGGACAAACTGATTCGATGAAGATGTACCGTACATACAAGGAGTTTTATGAGTTCTACCAGAAGTTGTGTCTGCAGTTTCCTCTAGCAAAGTTACACAGGTAATGATTTTTGGTTGCGAATATTTTATTTCCTTCAATATAGTGCGTTAGCCATGTGAGCGCTTTGAGAATACCTGACAGTGCGTCCGGTGGGTTCTTCATGCTTGACGAAGCTAAAATCTTCAATATTCTCGTGAGCGTGATCATTTTCTTCATCACTATAGTCTAGGTTACTATTTTCGGTCTCCAGGTCAACGTTAAACACATTCACGGGCTCATGATTCAAAATATGTTTACGGTTTTGTTGTGGTTCAGGTGCCTTTACTTTCGGTGTTTGTGTTTTATTCGTTTCTGTTCTTAATTCGACTTTTTCAAAAGTAGGCTGCGAAGAGGGTTCATCATGATGGTGAAAATTAGACGGAGGCACATCTAAATTCATTTTTAATCAGTTTTGATCTTATCAACACGTTCATTCTACGCATTTATTATTATAACTTACATTTAACGTTAAATTCCGATGTCGGTATGTATTGTAAGCCGGCAATACCTTCCCAATCCGGATCGGGCTCTTCTTTACCAACAATTAACACCTCTTTTTTTGTAAATGGCCACATATTTGAATACGCAATTGAAACGTGTACTGTGTACTGTATTCAGCGGTTTAGAGGCAAATCTCGGGAATTTCTAGCATACTAACATTATGAGCTGTAATTATAAATCCCGGCCGATGATAAAGTTTCTTATCTCTGAGCAATTAACTCGAATTCAAGCGCATTCTGATAAGACACTGCGTTCTAAAGAATGCGTATTGCTTGTTTGCTATAATTTATTGAGTTTAACGCCATGTAATGATTTTTATTAATTTTTATATTATGATTGTATATTATATTATAGCCTCAGCAGTGGATTACAAATGGGCAGATCTAATGTACAACAAGTTGCAGCAAAACGCCACAATGAAATCAAGCAGTTTATTTATTCATTATTCAAAACAGCGGATGAAATAGCTCATTCAGATTTGGTTTACACATTTTTTCATCCAATGTTAAGAGATCAGCAAGATCCTTTACCTAACAGGACAGGTAATTAATAATTTAAAATACAATTAATTTTTTAAGTTGTTTTTTACATTTTGTATGTTTTGTTTGTTTCTAATCAGCGCGTAAAGCAGAAGATCGTTGTGAAGTAGGTAAGCTCAAAGGTCAGCTGAAACTCTCCATACAATTCAATCGGGACGTGTTTCACGTGATGGTCCAACACGTGCGTGGCTTGTCATTGGTTGGAAGCAATGCGCAGGAACCCTCTACTTATGTCAAAGTATACCTACATCCTGATCCAACCAAGGAAACAAAACGCAAGACAAAGATTGTCAAGCGGAATTGTCATCCTAGTTTCATGGAAATGGTATGATCTCATCTAACAAACATTTAATACTTTATTGCTCAATTTGATTGTTTGATTGTTTGGTTTGTTCAAAGTTGGAATATCGTATGCCGTTGGAAATTCTGAAAAGCCGCACTTTAACGGCGACTGTGTGGAGTTATGACCTTCTCCAGGAGAATGAGTATCTGGGCGGCGTTGAATTGCAGCTGAATCAATTTGATTTGACGCATGAGATTAGCGAGTGGTATCCGCTTGGGCAGGTGCCGCGCTACAGGCCTTAATTACAGGGCTATTGAGATTTAATTTATGTCGCTTATCGCATCAACATTTGCATCATACCAAAGCATTTATTTTCATATTTAGTGTTTATCACCGCGCAGGATCGATGTAATCACTACTTTTATTCAGCACCTAGGTGGCAATTTTTTCGGTCATATGGTTATATTATATGTATTGATTAATAATGTAACACATAGACTTTTATATGTAATTTATTTTTTAAGGCTCATAATATTTAATATGTCGAATTTATTATTTCAAGGAATGCGGTGGGAGTTATTCTTATAACCTAACCTATTCTTTGGTGTAGTGAAGCCATTTTGGAGAGAATTGCAATCAAATTTGGAGCGAATCTACATAAAATGTAGATTTAAAAAGTTGATCGGTTTAATTACAGCTTTCGCAATGTTTAATTTAATAATTTGAAGCGTTAATTGATTAATTGGATGATTAGTTCGTTAATTAACTTTGCACAAAAGCATTATTACTACGTGGTAATAGCCTTAACTATTCAGTAAATTTTGATACTTATTTACTGTCCGTACATTGAAGAAGAGTACAATTGGAAAATGAATATATACGCAACCAAACACACACGAAACATTTGATTGTTCATGAATTTTCGTTTTAGACAATGTATTTATTATAGATAACACTTTAAGATAATTATTTCCATTTATTTAGTTTGGTTACATAGTTATTGTTTAATGGAAAAAAGTAAACGATTTTCATACTGATGAAACATTTACCACGTGCAGTGATTTCGAGAGACACAACTATGTCACGTGTGATCATTAAAACCAATTAAGTATACAACATTCAGATAACATTCAATTACTAAATCAATATATTTCACACATTATTATAAAAAAATATAATCTAAAGTATCTACATATTTCGAGATCACATATTTGCCTACTTAAGCCTTCTTAATTTTAATAGTTACTCTCTGCGACAAACCAATCGCAAATCTATAAGCAAATCTACATAAATAGAAAGTAGACATGGTTACTGATACTAAACATGCAAGAAGGAAAGCCAACACATCTAAATAATAATACTGATATGTCGGAATCTTAGGACCTTTTAAATGTTGCCCACTTTTATGTCTGAGAACATATTCCGTCCACCAAACAGCCTTTTCCAATGGAGTCATCGGTTGGTCTTGAATTTGCAGCGCTAATTTTGTAATGTTGTTTTTATATTTAGGATTGGTGATTACTTCATTAATAGCTGCTTTGAATTCATCTACTTGTAGGGTTTTATAATTCAAACGAAGTCCAAGTTCTTTTTCGGCGACTTTTGCTGCGTTGCTGTCCTGGTCACCAAGGAATGGAATTGTAATAAGGGGAACATGAGTGAACAGAGCTTCTTCCAAAGATTGCATACCAGCTTGGGTGATGAATAATTTGATGTTTTTATGTCCTAAGATTAAGTAAAAACGTAATTAGTTTAGGGTTTTTAAAACAATTTGATGAAACTTACTTAGAACATCTTGTTGTGGTGCCCATTTAATAATTTTGACATTTTCAGGTTTACCAGGCAAATCATCAGCTTCAAACTTCCATAAGACGTTGTAAGGCAATTGAGAGAAGGTCTCCATGATGACATTACGCGTTTCATTGGACAAATCTTTACTTTTGACATTACTACCCATACTGAAATAAACCACACCTTGACTGGACTCATCCAAAAACTTCTTCAATTCAACCGGTAAGTCTTTAGGTGGTTTCATGTGCATCCCACCAGATACAGAGATGGTGCTTGGAGTTAAAGGTCTGACTTCAGCAAACATTGGATTAGCATTGACAAACAGCATATCAACACTCTGTGCTAACTCTTGTATATCCGGATAATTATCTCCGAAATGTTTTTTGTTTAATTCGTTGATTAGATTAACGGTTTTACCTCTTGTGAAGTAAATAAGTTGATTTAAGAGGAAGCTCACTAAGCGGTCTTTGAAGCCTTTGTCTCCATCAAGATCCAGTAAAGATGTAGGATACATAATGGCGTGAGTTGGATTACCCATTACATCATGAGCAGTGTTTGTACCTTCCAAAGATGTCACACCAATAAAAGAACAGTTGAAACGGTGTTTGAAGGCATAGAATGATGGATACAGATACTCCAACATCACAAGATCAAATTTCTGATTTTCATCTTTAATGAGTTCTTGAACTTGTGGTAAAGCAAGTTCATGCTCTGACATTTCAAGGAAAGCTGATGAAAACCTCGCAAAGGCCTTCATTTTATTATCATTCAAAGCAATGACATCTTTAATAGCTCCTTTCATGGCGGCGTACGCAGAACTCATATCAATCTCTTTGAAATTCGTCAGGTTTTCATGAGTTGGATCCGTGGTTAACACGACGACATCATGGCCACGAATTGCTAGCTCTCTCCACAACATTTGAAAGAATACCTGATGACTATAGGAAGCCGTGGGGATCGCAGCCAGAATTCTTGCTGATTCTCCATTCTTCACAGCCAGTAAAACGACGCACATCAGGAGGAGATGAATCTTCATGGTTGTATTTGTACCTATTGCACTGTGATACACGGAGACACTATGAGAACAATGGCGTTAAGAGAATGTCTACACGTGTTTCAGTGTCCGACGGGTCATTTATATACAAATCCAATCAAACTAATCAAATAGAATAATTCATTCAGCAATCAGGCGATAAGATAAGCATTGAACAATGATCGCTGTGGTGATCAATGAATGCGTGATACTATGGTAATTGGAGATTCGAGTGGTGCTTGAGACTTACAATCCCGTATCCGTTAGCCCACTTGAAAAAATGAAACGTGCTGAATCTACAATTAATAAATGTATTGACGCAATGGCCCAAAAAAAATATTAAGTAATATTTGATCAAAAACTTTTTTTGTTTTGATATTCGGTCTATAAACTTGGAAAATTGCATCTTAGAAGTAATAATAATTTGATTGCACATTGATCCTTATGTTAATAATGATTTTATAAGATTTTATCAATTTTTTTTGTAGATTTTGTAAATTATCTTACGTTCAGCGGATAAAAACACTTGTGATTTAATTAATTGTTCCTGTCGTTATCACAATTGTGTCAACATTTTTGTTACCAATCGGATATGCATAATTTCATTGATAAATTGTGAATGGGTCTGGGTCCTTGTAAGTATTTTTAGAAAAATTACTATTTGATTAGATCTAATAAGTTGAATTGACTTAATTTATTGTCTAATTCATTGTTTTTATTCTTACCAGGTAAAATGATGCTTGAAACAAGTGTACAAACACGTTCTTCACGTTCAATGGCCAAAAAGAGACTAAATATTTCATTCCAAGAGGAGCTTGATGAACTTGAAGAAAACTTCTTTCTTTCAACACATCATGAACCAGTTTTTTTAAGTATGTTGGGTAATATAAAAATACTATCTGCTGCAACAGAAGATTTTGAAGTGCAGGCAAAGTACATCCATTATACAACAAACTGATAAGATATATCTATCAATTTGATTTTTAAAGATGTTATACTTATTATTTCGTCATTCAACGCCACACTGGAATACTCGTACATTGCTTATAACCATTAGTATAGATTTGTATCTCTCCCTAGTGATAATGTATTCCTTACGCGTTGTTTTCTGTATTCTCTTCTACTGGAGCACCACAGTGGAATCAGCCCGGATTCTTGCCATCGTGCCAACCACCTCCTACAGCCATCAAGTTTTCTACAGACCCCTGTGGATTGAGCTAGCCAATCGTGGCCATGAAGTCCTTTTGGTTACAACGGATCCCATCAATAATTCTAGTATAACTAATCTGAAAGAAATTGATTTGAGTGAAGCATATAGTAGCTGGAATGCAAGCGTAATGGAAATGGTAAAACTGAACGATGATAAGGTCGGTGCCATTAAACTAATGCTTAATACTCTATACGACATTTCTCGGATTGAGCTCTCAAACCCTGAGCTGCAGAAGTTATATCACAGCACAGACGAACATTTTGATTTGTTGTTTGTTGAATATCTGCTCCCAACCATGAATATCTTCAAGTATAAATTTGATGTGCCTTTCATAGGAGTGTCTTCATTGGATGCCACTGTATATGGTCATTCCTGTGTAGGAAATCCAATTCATTCTGTGTTGTATCCCAATTACATGCTTGGATTTGGCGATAAATTGAACTTTTTTGAAAGATTGATGGCTGTTTTCTTCGATAATTACATGTATTTATTTGGGTATTTTACAATGATACCTACACTGGATGCAATTGTGAGGGATACAATGGGAGAAGGTATTCCAAGTTTAGCGACAATTGGTCTAGATGTGGATATGATATTTGCGAATGCAAATCCGTTATTCAATCCGATTAGGCCTTATACACCTGCAACTATATCCATTGGTGGGGGTTTTCATGAAGTACCAGTGAAACCACTTCCAGAGGTAATTTATTGTCAAAATTCATTGTCTTCTTATAAAACATTGTTTTTCTAACTTTTACTTAACATTACAGGATCTTAAAGCATTCATGGACAATGCCAAAGAAGGTGTGATTTATTTCAGTCTCGGTTCCAATGTGAAATCAAGAGAAATATCTCCTAAAACCAGGGAGATTATAATGCAAACCTTTGCGCAACTTCCTTACAAAATCCTTTGGAAGTTTGAAGATGATACTCTTCCAGGAAAACCTGATAATGTAATGATTAAAAAATGGATGCCTCAACAGGACATTCTCAGACACAAAAATACATTGGTATTTATTACACAATGTGGACTTCAATCATTAGAAGAAGCTTTATTTGCTAGAGTGCCTCTGGTAGCAATGCCATTTTTTGCGGATCAAGAAACCAATGCGCGGCATGTTGTTTCAAAAGGTTTGGGTTTGCAGTTAGACCACAAAACTTTAACCACTGAGCAATTCAAAGAAGCAGTTTTGGAAGTCATTAAAAATGATAAGTACCGTAATAAGGTGCAGGAGTTGGCGGATTTGGTACAGGATCAACCCATGAAGCCATTGGAAAGTGCTGTTTGGTGGACAGAATATGTTTTGAGGCATAAAGGGGCTAAACATTTGCATGGACCAAAGATACCTTTCTATCAGCAGTATTATTTTGATGTTTTGGGATTTCTGGGTGCCCTTATTGCAATTTTACTAAGTTTAATCTATTTTATTTGCAAGAAATGCTATAGTTTTATTTGTGGGATGGTGTGTTGCAAGAAAACTAAAACTGTTAAGCATAAAATGCATAAGAAGAATAATTAACGCGTTAAATTGAGATTATTACATGTTTTTTTTGTTTGTAGTTGATTAACATAGTTAAAAAATTAAATTCAAAGTTTTTTTTGTAATAATATAAACGAATTAGTTGTGATTAATTATATTCGTTTTATTTTTAACATATTTGCTATAATTTTATTTTATTTATATTTTATTTACTGAATTTATTTATTACGCATGTGTAGATATAGTTGCCTAATATTCGTTTATTTCTGAGTAAGTAAATAGGAGCGTACATATAAATTTCTATGTCTAACCATCAAATTTTCTCGAAAATTGAATTTACAATACATGAATTAAACCAACAATAATTTGCTAGAACTATTTTAATTTTGGTCTCACCATGCTACGCCGACAACTATCAAACATACCCAATAATAATTTCTTGATTCGTTGTAAGTTAAATTCTTCTAAACTTATGTTTCCAACATTTCATTTTATTTCTTTATAGTTAACTCTACAACAGGAAAAGAGAAATGGGATCTCCTCACAGCAGTGTGCATTGAAAGGAAACCACAAATAGTCCCGGATTTAACAGGAATTCAAAAGGAGTTTAATGACCAACTGAAAAGTGTTGAGTTTGAGAAAAGCTGGAAATCTGCACATGAAATCCGACATGAGAGAGATGTGTATGCAATTTATAAATTATTAATACATTTCTTCAGTTTATTTATTTATTCTTTTAGTAAACAAATGGAACTCCTAAAGAAAGGAGATATAGAATCAGACTTGGCATTAAAACAAACTGCCCAGGATTTTGTGGACATGAGCTCTGATGAATTAAACAAGTTTCAATTTGGTTCTGTTGTAACAGAGGCTGATAACAAAAAAGATATCAAAAGCACACTAAGAAAACTTAACAAAAATCTGGTGTTGGTTACACAGACTAAAATTGGAGATAAAAACTTTTATTTGCTGCCACAAGGGATGAGAAATGATGGAGAAACATTAAGACAGGTTTATAGAATTGATTTGTTTCATAAAATAATAACAACAGTAATGTTATTTATTATTTCAGACTGCTGATCGCGTGATTAAAGAACAATTAGGTACAGAATTGAAAACACAGATCTATGGTAATGCACCTATAGGTTTCTATAAATATAAATACCCAAAAGAAGCACAGAATGCATCTGTGGGAGCAAAGGTATTTATCTATTTTGCTAGTCATAATGGAGGTGTGATTAATGAAAAAGTTAATCATATGTGGTTGGATCGCACGGAACTTCAAAAAGAATTGCCTGAAAAGTATCATAAGGCAGTTCAAATGTTTCTAATTGATGAATAATTGTAATTTTGTAGGTAGAACTTTAAACATTAGAGTTATAAACATTTTTTGTGTTTTAAATGGTATTGTGTATACATTTGATTGATAATGGGTTTATAAGTTTACAGATATCTTTTTTGTATCACATAATTGCGAAAAGTCAAAATGAAATGCATTTTTTGTCTTTACCAAGTTATCGAATCCATTCGGTAGATATTTATTTCTTTTCATTTTACAACAGATGGCGCTACCAGTTCGATTGTAACAATTTTATTTTAGCACATCACATAAAATGGAAGAACATAATCATGAAATATTTTAGATAGATCAAAGAAAGAAAAATAACCGAATCAACAATAATATTTAACTTTATCTCTTTCATTTATAGTCTGTTAACTTCACCTGACATCATATGTCAATGCATTATATATTTCTTTTATATTCTCTTAAGAAAGTATTTTATATATGCCTTTGCATGTGATTAAACATCAAGAACTTTTCAATAACTTTGGCAGCATCCAGTGCTTCTTGAAGTGTTGGAGGTAATTCAACATCTTCAGTTTCGGTTTGATCATTTTCTACATCTTCATTGTGCTCTTCTTTCACATTTGTATCGACAGTTTGTGTTCGCGTTTGTGCTTTAATTTTACCATAGGTAATGTTATGTCTGTGCTTAAATTTTTCTAGCCAACCTTGTGATGCTTTAAAATCAGTTATGCCAAATTTCTCAGCTAGCTTCTCTGCTTTGGCTTTAATAATTGGTCCTGAGATGGGTTTATCATTCTGGCGTTCATTGTTCAACCACAACAACATTGCTTTGTCTAAATCTTCGAATTTCGGCCTTCTTAGTTTTTTAGAAGACCCTCCCTGCAGCTCTGCCAGTAGAATTGCATCTTTATTCTTCCAAATAGTTGCAACAGTAGAAGGACTCAGCCCTAAACGTCGTCCAACATTACTTTTCTTCTCTCCCTTTTCTATTGCACGAATCATACAAACTTTTTCGTCAACACGTAATGCTTTTCTTTTACTGACCATCTTGAGGCTCTCAAGTGTGGTTTATGGATGATACATTTAAGATAGGTGCGTATTACTAGAATACCTTGATCATAGGTCCCAATTTATACAATTAATGGGTGTCTGGATTTGTGTGAAGCAAAATTCGTCATTGATGAAAGAGACACTTAACACATGTTTAACATAATACAATACATATATGAGAAATTTAATTTATATTTAATCTACAGGATAAAGTATGCAGTTTCTATTTTCTTTCGACTAAAAACAAACAAAAACCGAATGGAATGCAGGTAGCTAGGTAAATATACAGTGAGCTGACACTTCCCGTCCCGTTATACTCGAATGCTGTCCTTACACAAATCTTGACAATTTGTGACAGCTTCGTTTATTGCTGTGTTATTGGCATACTTTTAAAGAAATTTCAAGATGTATCTGACTTCTTTTTACTCATGGCTAAATCTTGCATGTAGTTGCAGGCCCCTTAATATGATTTTAAAACAAATAGTTTAACAATAGTTGTCGGGAGAACACGTTCATGATCGGCATTTGTCGGTTGTACAGCACACCGTCGACGAATCGCCGTGAAATGTTTCTCCACCATTATTTCTTTTCAATCTACTTTCGAAAGTATTATTTGTCTTTACCAAAATAATGATAACACTACTACTACACTACTACTACAATAATGACTTCATTTACATATGTAGTCATTGACCTGCATATTAGGTGCCCTAATATATTACCTAATATTTAAAAAAAAATCAAGGTTGCTGTACCTAAAACAATCATAAATCACCACCGACGTGTCATAGAATAATTAGGCAATTTTCCAATAATTATTAATTCCCTCCATTATCTAAAATCCTGGCGACTTCAAATATAGAGATAATCGTGGAATGTCCAATGGACGAAAACCAGCCTCATCAATATAATCTCCACCAAAGCGATCAAGCCTCCCCGAAAATCGACGCAGAAGTCTCAGAAGATGCGAAACACCACATGAAATGTACCGATACATCATCACCATCGACATCAGCTCCATTATCAGATATTTCACTAGACGAAACAAAGACTGCCGAATTTAAAAATTCTTCAAGTGAATTTTTTCACTTCGTGAGATTGATGCAGCTTTTCCCCAGCGTGCATCCTGCAACTTTGCATACAGTGATGACAATGTGCAAAAGCGATTTTTTCGTAGCAGTAGACCGTCTGCTTTATGCTAAACGCTGTAAAGAATTATACGATACAAAGAGAAGAATGTTTCAGTGCGCACCTAAGAACAACAATAGATATGCACCTTATTCATGCACATCAGATATTTGCGCTCAAGGATTATCACGCATGCGATCACCAAACGTCAAAATGGAACCAACTGGAAAGAAATCATCAAGAAAGTCGAGAGTAGAGAAGAATTCAAGTAAGTCTTATGGTAGAGTAAGTAATATTTTTTTTGTGGTGTGTCTTTATTTATTTAGGTTCTGGACAGTTTCAAATGCAATTGCAACAACAACAGATTCATGAATCACCTATCACACTGCAATGCAATGTCCCCCTACGACCTCTATCGCCAATGCCTGAAGCTGAATTGTCTTTGACTAACAATAATATTGAAGGGGTTGCTGTGGAAGGCGTCGAGGTGGTTGTAACACAAGTTTGAATGCATTTTTCAATTAGTTTTTAAAAGTTTAGGTGGCAAAATATTACATAACATGATTAGATTGCTTATCAAATTGATATCTAATCATTTACTTGCAATTACTTACACAAATTCCAACTTTATATAAATCAATAGAATTGATCTCAAATTATTTCTCCACTAAAACTTAAATATCATGGTAGTGATGGCGTTTAAAGTGTTACCTACGTTTGTTCTTCTCTTCGCTGCAGTGGACGCATCTAGAATCCTTGCAGCGATCCCAACTGCATCCTTCAGCCATCAAGTTTTCTACCGTCCACTATGGAAAGAACTCGCAAAACGTGGACATGAAGTCACTCTGGTTACAACCGACCCAATGAAAGATCCAACGCTTAAAAACTTAACAGAAATAGATGTCAGTGTTGCTTATGATTACAAACAAAATGAAAACATGCAAGAGATCTTCGAATCAGACAAAACAATGGCCATTCACAAAATGATCGAAATTTTATACAAAAACACTCGGTTGTATTTTGGACACAAAGATGTAAAGAATCTATTTCTAGATAAAAGCATCACGTTTGATTTAGTGATGATCGAATGTGTTTTTCCTTCGTCGTTTGCCTTTGCGCATAGATTTGATGCGCCGGTGATTTGTTTAACATCTTTGGATGCGCATTATATCATACATGCAGCAATGGGTAATCCTACACATCATATTTTGTATCCGAACTTTTTATTACCGGTTGGTAATCCGATGAGTTTCACGGATCGCTTGCTGACTGTGATTGCTATGAATGTTTTAACTGCTTACATGGATTATTGGGTGTATCCTGAGGTACGGAAAATATTAGACGAGGAAATTCAAGATGAAAAATCAGTAATGCCTGAATCAAGTCAAATGTTTGATAAAATCGATATGGTTTTCACAAATACTAATCCATTGTTTAATGCTGTGAGACCTTATAGCCCAGCGACGATTTCCCTAGCTGGTGGTTTACATGAAACATCAACAAAACCATTACCAAAGGATCTACAGGATTTTCTAGATGGCGCTACTGAAGGTGTTATTTATTTCTCACTTGGATCAAACGTTAAATCTAAAGATATATCAACAAAATTACGTCAACAAATCATTGCTGCTTTTGAAGAGTTACCACATAAAATTCTATGGAAATTTGAAGCTGATACACTACCTAATCAACCTAAAAACGTTAAAATTGTAAAATGGCTGCCACAGCAAGATGTACTGCGTCACAAGAATGTGAAACTCTTTATAACACAAGCAGGTATGCAAAGCTTAGAAGAAGCACTTTTTGCTAGAGTTCCTATGGTGGCAATTCCTTTCTTTGGCGATCAGGACGTCAACGCTCAACGTATGGCACAGAAAGGATTAGGGTTGACTTTGAATCATAAAACTATGAGTAAAAGTGATTTTAAACTTGCTATTCTTGAAGTGATACATAATAAGAAATATAAAAACAGAGTTGTTGAAGTTGCTTCGATGATTCAGGATCTGCCGATGAAACCTTTGGAACAGGCAGTGTGGTGGACTGAATATGTTCTCAGGCATAAGGGGGCAGGGCATTTAAAGGGACCACAAATACCATTATGGCAGTATTATTATTTGGATGTTTTTGCTGTTATTGGAGTAGTTTTAGGGGTTATTTTGTTAATTTTTATTAAAGTTACATGCTATGTAAAGAGATTTATCTGCGGGATGGTTAATAAGAACATGAAGGCATCAATTAAAACAAAAAAGTCTAAAAGTAAGAAGGAATAACTATGATGTAACAAAATAAACAGTAACCATTAAATTATTTTCTATTTTCACATTCAAAGTTCTAGTGTTTTAAACACAAATAGTACTTTAGTCACTGGTGTTAGTCACGGGGTGGAGCTTGCGCCAGCGCTTTGCTTCCCGTTTAGCCACTTGCTACTTAATATACTTTAATTGTTTCAACACAATTTTTTGTTTTTAAATATGGGAAAGTGACAATATTTTAAAGTTGTAACTGAACACTCGTAACCCACACGTGCCTTATCTTATCAATAACCATTTACGTAACTTTGTCACACTTTAAAAAGGTTCAATTGTACTTCAAATAAATTTTAAGAACCTATTATTTATAGATAATTTAAACTTCCGATAAAAAGTTCCTACGAGGAACATTTTAAATGTATATTCAGTTAGTGTCGTTGAACCAGTTTGAAACTCATACTCACCGGCCATCATGTTACTAAAATTTGCATTATTAATATCCTTGACAAGTATTTATTTGGCTGATGCATCAAGAATATTAGCCGTAATTCCAACTGCTTCCTACAGCCATCAAATTTTCTTCCGTCCACTTTGGAAAGAACTTGCCAAACGTGGTCATGAGGTTGTTCTTATTACAACAGACCCAATGCGAGATCACAACATTACGAACCTACGAGAAATCGACATCAGTAATGTGTACGATTATCAGAAAACCGTTACGATTCAAGATATCATCAAGGTGAACAAACTCAGCAGCATTCGAGTGACACAAAGCATAGGACTGTTAATGACGCAATTGTTTCTGTCTCACCCAGAAGTAAAACAACTGTTTAAGAACCCCAACGAACATTTTGATTTGCTAATGCTGGAAACAGTATTGTTGGGGGTAAAAGCCTTTAAACATCGATTTGCAGAAACTTCACTTATCTACATGTCTTCATTGGATGTGCATCCGGATGTTCATGAGATGGTGGGCAATCCAAATCATATGATTCAGTATCCGTATTATTTTTTGCCTTTTGGTGAAGGGATGGATTTTGTTGGAAGATTGCTTACAAACGCAATTGTTAGGATCTCGAGAGCATATATGTATTATATAATTACACCACAGATAGATGCAATTATTAGAGAGGTCCTAGAAGTGGATTATCCTAGTGTGAGAGAGGAAGTTCAAGTGGACATGGTTTTTACAAATAGTAATCCGTTGTTTAACTCGGTCAGACCTTTCTCTCCAGCTACAATTTCACTTGCAGGAGGTTTACATGAAGCACCTAAATCGGAATTACCTACGGTTTTACTTCTCAAATAGTAAACTTATTATTTTTTAAATTGTATTTTTTAGGATATAAAAGAATTCTTGGATAGTGCTCCCAAAGGTGTAGTTTATTTTAGTCTTGGATCAAATGTTAAATCTAAAAATATTCATCCTGATACTCGCAAAGTGATTTTAGAGACTTTAAAGCAATTACCATACAAAATACTCTGGAAATTTGAAGATGATGAATTGCCCAATAAGCCTGAGAATGTAATGATTGCGAAGTGGGTCCCACAACAAGATGTCCTCCGGCATAAAAATATTAAACTGTTTATAACGCAAGGAGGGTTACAGTCATTAGAAGAAGCTTTTTACGTTGGTGTGCCAGTTGTAGTTATGCCATATTTTGGTGATCAGGGTTCAAACGCTAGAAGTGTGGTGAGGAAAGGTTTAGGTCTGGAAGTAAGTCATCGTTCACTGACTGTTGAAGACTTTAAATCAGCTGTGTTGGAAGTTGCTACTAATGATAAGTATAAGATCAGAATAAAGCAACTTACAGAGATTATAAAAGATGAACCAATGAAGCCGTTGGAGAAAGCTGTGTGGTGGACTGAGTATGTTTTACGACACAAGGGAGCTCAACATTTGAATGGGGCAAGAATACCAATGTGGCAATTTTATTATCTGGACATAATTGCATTTATTGGGGTAATGTTATTCGGTTTAATCTGGGGACTAGTAAAACTTTGTTGTACGATTAGAAACTTGTGTAGGAAGAGGGTTTTTATAAAAAAAGGTAAAAACAAAAGAGAATAAAAAATACAAGTTTAGATTCAATTTATTTGATGTTGAAAGTAATAAATGATTGAAATTTTAAAAGTTAAAAATGTGAAAAGGTGAAAAGTTTTTGATTTCGAGTGTTTAATAATTATTGAACAAAGGATTTGAATACAACCTAAAAAAAATCGAATTCTAGCTGTTTCCAATTCAGCGCGATGTAAAATAATGTAAATTCATTCTTGAATTCTATTTTTTAGATTTTCTTCTTTGATTTATTCCCAGAAAATTTAAGAACTCACACGAAATATATATTTCTCTCTTGCAAGTACCATCTCGTCATACTTAAGATTATCGAGTTTCTTTTTCCATTCTTCATTTTTCTTTGAACTGCTATGCAAACACTGGTTAATTACATTGCACACATGCTTAGTCGCTTCTTCAATTTCATCAGTAAACACCTGATAATAATGCAGTCCGGGGTTGTTAACAAATGTTTCCATGTAAATATCACGTAATTTTAATTGATCTTCTATAAACAAATTCAAGCATTTTGGTTGAACTTTTAAGTCTGGAAACAAAAATATATGTTAATAAAAATAACCACTGTACTTGTATGTAATTGCTTTAGCACACACACCTGACTTGGGCAAAGTAGATTTGTTATCAGCTACGAGTGTTTCATCGCTCTGGAGTGAATCATCCGTGGAGTTTAACGTAAACTCGACTGACGAATTTGAATCAGTATACTCTTCATCGCTTACCGAGTTAATATTCGACGACATTTCACGCCTTAAACTTAAATAAATAACATAATGATAATTTGATTTATTTTCTTATACCTACTAACCGTAATGATATGCCATCAGTAGTATAGCTGCCGCATACGGTATTGAAGCTTCCATCGTCCGAAGGTGCGTTCAACCAGGAAGTTGGTTGATATTTTATAAATTTATTAAGTGAATCATCCGAATTTTTTTGGTTTGATTTAGATTGATTTTGACTTTCAACCTTAGGAGATGATGTATGATTATCATCAATATAATTACGATTCTCTACAAGTTTTTGTGAGCAAAATAAAACGGACGGCTGAAAATAAAAATATGAGGAAATAAATAAAATAAATTGTCTTAGTAACTAAGTACAAATTTGAACACTAATCAAGTCTACCAGGAAGAAATTTGATGATATACTAGCAATCTTAGAGTCTGATGCAATCAGGTTTGGTGACATCATGCTCCCATACGAAATTGATTTTGTATTCTGTGACATTTCATCGGTTTCACGACTCTTTCTTCTGTAAATATATAAAAATAATTAAATAATTTTTATAATATAAATTTAACGTAATATTCAATTAACAACATACTCATGCATCTTTTCAACATAGTCGACGATTTCTTCTAATATCGCCGAGCACATTTTCTGATCTTTAAACTGGTCATTTAATGCATCAAGACCAATTCCTTGAAATACGATACTATACGCTTGAATATAAGTTGAAATCCACGCATTGGTGTGAAAATCTTGAATTAACCAAGATCGGTGGGTTTCCTTGGATTTCGGCATGGCAAAAATTAGTTTAGAATCTTGAAATCTGTTTTTTAATTGTAGACCACTATTTAAATCCACGGCAAATATTATAGCGTGGGTGTTATTAGTGTCGTGCAGCTCATCTTTACTGATACCAAAATACTGACCATACTCTTTCACGCAAGTAATAAAGTTGCCTTTCTCTAAATCTTGCTTAAACTTTATTCTGGACACGAAATAATAATCCGCACCATCTATTTCATGGCTACACTGCGGTCGAGTGGTGGTGACCAATCCCAACTTAACTTTGTTTCTTTAATAAAAAAATAATAATTTACTTATGTTTAGATGCAGCTTATTGGTTTATCAGTGACTATACATACTTGGGATAATTGTTTTTTATGTTTACTGCCAGGTGTTGGGTTCTTGCCGACGTTGACCCCACAAGAACAATTATTAGTTGCTTTTTTTCAAAGATAGTTGTTTCATCTTCAATTGACGGGGTAGCCATATTATATAACACGTTCTGCATTGAATTATAATGTCTGGCAGTGACTTCCTTGCTGTTGCAAAAGTTAAAATTGACAGTTCCCTGTAAATTAATAAATAATATCAATCTCTTCACCCAGGAAATAAAATCAACTTACTTTTTCGTAAAAATGAATTTTTCTCCCATCTAAATATTGCAGTTTATTCACATAATAAATTGCAGTATTTTTATATTTCACATTTTCTTGTATTGGATTATTGCGCATATCCAAACAATATAAATTAGTTTTATTGCATAAATATAATAGATCCGACAACTTGCTAATTTGATTATCGTGTACATTTAATTTTTCTAAATTGTGCATATCTTCAAAAGGCTTTAGAGATTCAAGTTTGTTAAATGCTATTGAAAGTATTTTGCATCTTGATATAGTATGAGAGCTCTTTGTTGAAGTATAATTAGTTGTTTCGATTTCGTTATGGTCCAAACATAAGTGGTTCATGTTTAATGAAACTAATCCATCAATAAAGCGAATGTAGTTGTATGATAAATCCAAAAACTCCAAACTGTAATATAATATTTTATTATATCAATAATAATAAAAATAATGTTAATATTAAAATTATAAATTCCAAATTTAGTAGTAAAATATTAATTTTATACCTTAAATTTTCAAGACCAGAAATATTTGCAATCAAATTATGTGAGATGTTAAGATGCTCCAATGACCAACAGTGACTCAAATTAGGAATTCTTTCAATCAAGTTATAAGAATAGTCCATGTATTTAATAGTCAAAGGAGTTTCAAAATCCAGTAACTTAGTTAATAGATTTTGAGAAACATCAAGATACTTTAGAAATGGCAAATATCCAAGTGCGTCAAGATCCGTTAAATAATTTCTAGATAGATTTAAATGCGTAATATATTTGTGGTATCTTAATATATCAATATTTGATAATCCCTAAAACAAAACAAATATGTACATAGATTAATTTTAAATACATTTTCAATTACCTGTTTTGATAGGTCACAGCGCGTTAATGTGTAACAACCTGGTTTTGCAGTAGCGCTAATAGAATTCGAATTATATTCAATCAATTCGTCGGACAGGGTATTATTATATAAAGGGTAATTTTGCGTGAAATGTTGGTAATTATTGTTGGTCAGTTCAAATGATGCACATGATTGCTTGTTATCACTTTCAACTGGAAACAAAAGTATAAGATACTAGCTTTAACCTGCGGCTTCGCTCGCGAATATCTAAAATAATGAAGTTGCTTCCTGTACGCGTCTGTAGTCACAGAAGAAGTACAAATGAAGTAGGAATGTATGTGGGTGTTTAAAATGACTGGAAAGTATATATCAATGGGAAGGTTAGGTACAGTTCCATAGTGTAGCCAATTGGATTTGATGTTGACGTAGCTGTTTAAAAATACCGTGTGATAATACAGTGTGATGGTACTAGTGAAAATGTAGGTTTGAGTCATTGCTGTGAAATATAGATATGTTAAAGCTGTCAAATACGATGCAGAGTGTAATATTGAAGCTAAGCAATTTCTTCATTTTATTAAAAAATAATTTTTTATTAAATAAAATGGGCCTATAACCATTCGGGGACCACTAAGAATATGTGTACAAATTTTCATGATGATCGTTATGTTTTTGCGTGAAAGTGTAACAAAACATCAGGACTATTGCAATTTATAATATTAATAGGGATAAATGATCTGCAAAGGTTTTTATAATATTTCACAATGATATTTTGTGAGGGTTACAGTATTTCTATTTTTTATATACACCTAGCGAACCAATATAATATTTAATAATATTTGTTCATTTCATTAATTTAGTGATGCTACTCAACTTACTGTCGTCAAGTTTTCATCAGCCACTGATTCTTCTGTAGTATTGTTTAAAAGCAATGAATTGGCTGTACACATGTAAAAATTACTTTGAGCTCATGCCCTGTTTGCATCCAATTCAACAAAATTGGATAACCATATGACAAAATAATAAAAAAATAAATAAAAATAACAGATTGCAAATTGATTAAAATAATAATACTTTACTCTCATACAAAACATTGTACTAAATCTTTACTTATTCGATGCGTATTTCTGTTCCCTTATAAAGTTGTTACATCTGCTATATCGATAGTTTCGCGTTCTTCATCCTGCACGCTATCGAAGTTTGTTTGTAAACAACTTTCTATCGCTTCGAACTGGTTTCTATGCTGAAGCCTGTACGAACGTCTGTACGCTCTTGCAGTTAGTGTTTGCACGCGGTGTGGTGTAGTTAACTTCATTCCGGTTAAATTAGAATTTAATACATTTCCATTGGATTATTACCGGTATAAATATCGAAGTCAGTGATAGGTTGTATATCCACAGTGTTTTAGTATCGATTAGTTACGCGTAAAATAATTATATAGAACTCGTGTGTTCATTTGTGTATTAGTGATCCGACGATTATTGCAATTTCGTATCCTCGATGCTGGGAATTTGGAAATAAGAGGTATGTATACAAATTTGATACTCCTTGAGCAATGTTGATAATTCAAGTCCGTCAACGAATTGAATGACGTAAAGAAGTTTAGTATAGTGTGAGTCTTAAACACACCTGTTTTTCTTGTTGTAGCCTATTTACACAACCTGAGGCACTAGTAAGTTTATAAGTAATTTATTATTATTATACTATAATTATATAAATTTTCCCTATTTTAAATGTTCTATTGCAGGAAATCGGGTCATAATCTGGTCAGTGTTAGAGTATTTGTATTGTTTCTGATAGATTTTGATACGCTGAGTCATACCCAATAACAACACGCTATTGCCGCCAAATCTCTGGAAACAATGCGCGAAGTGCTTTAAAATCGTTCTTCTTCAAATTCTCAACTCCTTTAATTTTAAAGGAAAAACCTCTTTCTCATTTGCTCTTTAACTAGCCTATCTTATAGAGAATTTTCCGTAGATTAAGACTCTGGCACTTGTAAATTTATTTATTTCTATTAATTTGATGAGATATTCGCACCAAATAAATGGGCTAAAATTGAAAAATGTCACTTTTAAAATTTTTAGTGGCTTTTTTACCTTTTACCAAGTTGGAAACTATACCTACTTTTATATTTTTATCTGATAGGAATTTTTCAATCTTTCATAATCAGTACCTGTTGGTAGTTATCTCTTTTAGTTTAAGCAGATATGAATTTTTGAAAATCGTCGAAAAAGTATCAAGTAATCCCCTTGGCAATTTTTCTTTCTTAAGACTTAAAATTATCTCAGATTTCCTTTTAACGTCCTAGTTCGATGAGATTGGTCCGTAGATTAAGACGCTGTAAGGATCAGATATTATATAAACATTAAATCGTAGACATTAAATTTATAGTTGAAAATTATTCTCTTCAAATTTAGTTGAAGTAGATTTACGCCAAGTTTAAATTAATTTTACTCTAGTTTGTTTAACACTCTTCACTTCGCTAGTTCTCCGCTTTTGGAGAGTTGAAGCACGTCACCGTTCAGAATTTATTCAAGTGTTGAATTAATATTTTGTATTAAAAATAAATTAGAATCGTAAAATTCAAGATGAATATTATTATGTACACAATAGAATTAAATCTATTGTTTGTCAGTAGTTTTGTTTCGTGTGATATCATAAACGTGGGCTGGTATTAACGGTTTACCGTAACGACACGATTCTCATCCACATGCATATTCATGCGGCGCTGCGGATTATTTCCGACTGCCATAATTCGCAGTTCGAAGCGCGAAGAGCGCACGTTCGGTGCGTCGAAATGGATTATCCTTCAGGCGCAATGTGTACTCAACTTTGCACACTTGTTTGTAGATTAGTGATTATAATGCTTATTGCATACATAACCTCTTTTATTTTTATACTCTTCAGCACTATTTGTAGTATTAACTAAATTTTTGTAATTTAAGCGAAAAAACATGTTTTTAACATTTAAATTTTTTAGGGAAGAGAAAAAATTTTATTACCACAAAAAGTAAACTGTATACAAAACAAAATGCAAATTTTTTTCTTCACCAGGATAAAATTTACAATTGTAATTTAAATTTTAATTTATTAACAACAAATTTCCCATAAATACTTTTTATTTCTGTAAAAATTAAACTCACATTTCGATTTTATCAATACCAATCAACGTAATAGACTGGTTTTTAGCTTATAATGGATAACGATTTTGTAATGTAAATTTGTAGGCAGTTTGCAATGCATCTTCGATGGCAATGCAAAGCATTTATGCGCGGCTTGCGTGAAAACCCTGCGAATGAATGTGCAACACGCATTCGGAACGCGATGTAAATGCGAACGTGTGCGGCGATGTGGCGTACGATATGGTGGCAGTGCGCGGGCACTGGAATGTTTTCCATGACTTTAATGCGCACCTCTGCGAGCCATTACTTTCATTATTGCCACATATTTCTACGCGCATTGACTTTTTCCAAAGGAAATGGAACCTTTAGATAAACACTATTATTAAAATTAATGGCCGCGTGCATAATTCATTCGGCAACTATCTGATGAAATAAAATAATGGCCATTGTAACGAAATGTATGATTATTTATGTTGATATTATTATTTAGGAGCATACATATATAAATCATAATTATACGTTATTAAAATAATTTATAGTTGTGTAATATCATGTTATATAATGATATTAATTAATTTTTATGTGTTTACATGTCAGTATTGTTAAGAATTTTATGTTTATTATCGTGGTTTACTATTTTTTACATTTAATTATAGGACAAACAAATATTTAATTATTTTTACAAAATTTTGAATTTTTTAAATTTTTTAGACAACAACATGGCAAAACTAGAACTCCTGCTACCGTGCCTGCTACTGGTGACGATATCATCCGAAAAAAGCTTCGTGGAAACTGCACCGACGCCATCCCCGACTGAAATTCAAAAATCTACTCCGAAAGGTAATTACCGCACAATTAGTCCGAATATTGATTGAGCACTTGAACGAGATTATGTATTTTTAATCAAGAAATCAATACATAACACTTGAATACTCAAAAAAATTCAATACCCCAAAATGTTGATGATTTAATTTGACAGTAATGCATTCAATTGCTTGTGTTATTGGCTGCGTTCATAATCCATGTAGCTGCGTGCTGATAAAATGGAACACAAAGAGTAATTTGCCTTTTTTGCTTAATAAGCTTGTTCGTGCTTGATTAGATAATAACGCACGTGCTCGAACGTATCGATTTTTCTAAATGAAGCACCTCGCAAGTTGCTTGTGTTGGCAGAAGCACTGAAACAGCGAGAAGGTCACAGTGTCAACGCGGTGAGCGGAAAATTTAATCTAGAAGAAGGTCAGCTAAGGACGCATCTAACAAGGTCAAACAAAGGCTTGACGCGCTTGACTATTCGGCTGGAAATGATGCGCAAGGCACGAACCTTTGCCTTTTATCCATGCAGACTTAAAGGTGCACACGGTATTGATTTTGATTTAAGGTAGGTTCTTTGATGCAATCCAGCACTCCGATTCCATTTGGTTCAATTCAATTCGATTCGATTCGATTTCATTTTCGTAAATGTATTTTTACTCGCAGATATAAATAACTAAGTAAGCGACAGCGACCCCATGCACTTCGCATCGATTGCTTGCTGAAGAAAAATAGTTTTCTTTCTCGAGAATAATCCGAATTGAATGACGCAGTTGTGAGTTAATAAATCAAAGTAAGAAAGTTTTCTTTTTTTTGCTTTTCTATAGGCATTCATAGTGTTATCAACAGAAAATCTTGCTTTCAAACTTTTCTAGAGGCATTTAAAAATTTATTTTAATTTTAATAGCTTTAAAGAGACGTTTAATAAACTTTAAGTTTTAGTTTTTAAAATAGGAATTTAGATTTTACTAATTCGTAAATTGTTTTTTACGCGTGTGCAAAAAAATAATTATCATAATTGAAATATAAATAGCGAATCACTTTTGAACAGCTGCAGCATAACGAGAAACTGAACAAAAACCAGAAACGCTAAAGAATAGAATTGTATTTTTATGAAAAAGGCAACCAACAAAGCGGCGCAGCAAAAAAAAGGCGAAACAAAAAGAACGCGTTGAATAGCAAGATAAGCATAACTGAAATAAATGAAAAATATTTTGCGAATGTTACAATGCCACTAAAGAACCTGATATTATTCACGATTAGAATATCGGTGACGTTTATTTAGATAAAATATAATTGAATGCAAAATAAAATTGTTTTTAATCAGGAAAAACTTTATTCGGTGTCAAAACGACCGCATTCCCCGCATTTCAGCATTAAAAACGTGCAATTTCCACCAAATAAAGTACGGCAAACTAACGCAGTGTTAAAGTGCGCCCGAAAAACGAACATCGCACCCCAAGCGTGCCAACTAACACGCGACGAGGGCGAGTGGCAAGGAAACGACTGCCAGTCGCTTTGTGCCGAAGTAAACTAGAAAAAAAAAAGTGTGGATGAAAAAGGTCGCAGTCGCTTTTCGCTGATTTCGTGTTGACATGCCACGCTTGGGGTTGGTTTTGTTGGTTGACGTCTTAACAGAATCAAATCTCACACTAACCTGACATCCGCTAAATGCGGTTTTACTCGCACTTCCCAACAACATTAAAATATTTTATTTCTTTCAGGTTCGCCAGAAGTCGTCCCGGAAACACTGGTGAGTGTATTTCTGGATATTCACTTGATTGAATACTACATATAAGTACAATTAACCTAAATATTTCCGAAACTAAGCACAAAAACGTGTAGCTGAACACAAAAAGCTGCAATAACAAAGAAAAGCACTCAGATTATGCGACAGCATGCGACAACTTCATGCGAAATTGATTGTCGTAATTAGTGTGATATTTTAAGCCATTGCACGTGCAAAAAACAATGCGTTATTTTATTTTCCATCAGAAAATTAAAAAAAAAACATTTGTAGTTTGTTTGTATTCTTGAAAATATCAGTTCGATTGCATTCGCAATAAATTTTCTTGGATGTTGTAAGAAAAATCAATCGAACCGGAAGCTGGACTGACGTAGTTCAGGAAACTTACGGTTAAGCTCGAGCGGATGTAGGGCCGTAACGATGGATGAACGCTAGTTACAGCCCGGAAAGCTGAACAATGTTATAGGATAGTAAGAATGTGGAAGAAAGTAACGGCGAACGTGTTCGTGATTAAACAACTTCGGGCAAGTTGGAGATTTTTAATCATTAGAGCATATAATACAAGTTGAAACAACGTTATTCGAAAAATAATATATAAAACAATGTTTGTCTTCTTTTTTTAAGATAAAATAAATAAAATTATATTGTAGGATGCAAATGTACGGGAATTGGAAAGTTTAAAACAGACAATTGGTAAGTGTATAAACAAAGTTAAATAAAACAAGTTTTAAATTAGAATTTTGATAGGAAAAACTTTGGAAATGATGAAAAGTCAATCGGCCATCTACACCAACCTAAACGGACACACAGAAAGTCATTTAGATACCAATTCTCAAGGTTTGTAATTTTAACTTGTTTTATATTAAAATTAATTAAAAAAAATTATGAAATTCGTTTTATTATTAGCTATTCAAGATGAGAAACTAATATCTAATATTGGTATACATATCAATAAAGAGCAACCAAGCGCTGATGCACCAGCAAGAGAAAATCTCAACATTCCCGAAAAGAATATCCACAAGTCAAGCGTGCAACGCCTGCTGCCCGACATCCGGCCGCATCAGGATGAACAGCAACTGAACACCAAGCGTGGCTACGCCGGAGACCAGGACGAAGACGTCGCGCCGGTGAGTTAAACAACCTCATAATTCATTCGCGTCGCGCGAATCCTCGCACGCTGGGCTTAATTCACCTGCAAAGGAAGCTAAATTATCATTTCGACAGAGCCACAGACTAAGCATGAGATACGGATGCTTTTAATGCTTGTATCTTCCAAGATTAATGATAATGAATTTTTATATAACCACAGCAAAAAAAATTTCAACTTCAACGTTTTATTTATTTTATTTAAATAATACAGATGCAGCTGGAAAAGTTTGGTAAAAGTCGATACACGCCGTCGGATATGGCCGAGTACGTGTTCTGGACGGGAGATGAAAAGGGCGTTACGCTCGCAATCGAAGAGTTCCTGCAAGCTGGACTTGTAAGTGACGTGCTTGTATAAAGTTACAATATTTGATTTATGCATACAAAGGTTGCATACATTTCCAGTATACTCGTAATTAAACGCCTCTGGAAGTTATGCAACTTGTGATACAATCAAATTTATACTATGCATTAACATGTAAAAAACTATGCGTTGCGTCGATGCGGAAACATTCCAGAGACAATTACCAATTGGGAATTTGATGTAACGCAGCTTACTCGGAAGCTATTGCAGTGCATATTAAACACAAATTGATCAAAGCCCTTGCATCGAACTCTGAAACTAAGTTATAAATTCCGCAATACGCTTTGATCCTTGACATTTTAACTATAAAAACTTTAATATGATTAAAATTAAATTATTTTTTGAATTATAACTGATAAAAGAAGATAAATAATGGTTATGTTAAGAAATTCCGATCAGGATTCGATGAGTTTTCCACCGCACGAAACGAGTTGAAGCGCATGAAAGTCTACCAGTATCAGATATAATTAATTCATTGAGACTCTTTGATGCCAGTTGCCATAGGTTACTTTCAGTGTCCGGAGAGCTTTCCGTGACCTAAATACTGCAATTTATATCGGGATAAAGTATAAAGAAGACTTATACGCGCGCCTGTGTTGTAACAATGAGGATTTAAAATGATTATTATTATTGTTTTTGCTTGTTTGTTAGGTAAATAGTCATAAATTACTTTGCAGATGACCAGGGAGGAGGCAATCGTCTTTCTGCAGGAAATCAAATACAACTTAGACTATTTGCAGAACCATTACAGCACCCAACTTAGATTGAACGGCGCTGGGGAACATTCCAAGGTAGTTTAGGCGCATTTCAACTTATCCCATACATTACCCTGAAAGTCGCATGAATTTCATGTTAATTATGTCGGCAGTGTAAACAAGCCGTTTTGTTCAAGTCGCATTGGTAAAATTGAAAATTGTGGCGCGCGTTAAACAGCCATTGGTGCATAATTCATGAGAGACGCACTGCGACTGCCGAATTAATTATTCAAATGACTGACGATTTTAAAAACTACTACAAGCGTGGGTGGCAGGCAAACGCCGAAAAAGTGCACTCGTTTTTCAGCTGTCGGAAGACGCGCGGAATTACCCCGGCGGGCTTTTACGCTAAAAAATTATGCCCGCCATAAAGCACTGCACTGAACGTTTTTATTTGCGCCCGCCAAGCGAAACACAACGATTTTGTTTATTCTCTTTGTTTTCGTCTCCTGCCGCCGCTGCAGTTCGTTTTGCCGTGGTCGTTTCGGTAACTGCGTTTATAATTCACCAGCTGCACACCGAATGTCACATCTCCGGCGTACTTGCACTTTTGGCTTCATTTTAAATTCGAAATCGCTTAGCGACTTTATAAACGTCGTTGGAATTGAGAAGTGAACATTTAATTTAAGCCGCAGGTTTTTATTTGTTGCTCGTGGGTGTATTGCATGTTTTATGGGAAATTCTGAGATGACTACTTTCAAACATACAAATGATCTTATCACTTTCAGTCCTTCCTTTTTTGTTTCATTTTCTTCTTCAACTTTTTTCTTTCTAGGATGCAGATGCATCAAGTTTCGCATTTTTTCTCCTCTTGTTTTTCCTGTTCTTCATTTCCCTTTCAATTCATATCATTTTTTACTCTTTTCTTCTCGTTTTCTCGTTTTCCTCCCTTTTGTTTTTTTATTTACTGTCTTCTTGACTCTTTTTACTCATCTAGCTTTATTGTTTATCTTTTTTAGGTGTATTCTTATGTTTCTTTTTACCTGTTTATTTTCTCTTCAACTCACAATTCCTCTTTTATTTCTCTACTTCTTTTGAAACCTTTAGCGCAACATCGATTTTATATTACGACAGATTCTAGTTAACGTTGGCGTCCAGAATGCAATGCATATTAACGAGCTTCGGTCGAGCATTTTTATGAGCTTTGCTTGTCGAACGCTGTGCGCGTAACTCAATTAAACGCAAAAAATAATTCGATTTGCATTGTCATTTGCTGTCCACGTTTTGTGCGACCGCATCTAACCGTAAGATTTTAATTGCATTTTGTATAAAATTTTGATATTTATGGCATTCGCTGATGTCGAAAACATGTTCTACTATGATAGTACATAAGTTTACTATTACTATAGGCGAATACGGAAAATATCGCCGCGGACTTGATGAAGTACAGACAAACAATGGAGCAGATTCATGAATTGCAGGAATTAACCAGACCAAAACAGAATAAAAATTTTGATTTGACACAAATACGATATCAGCCCGTTAAGAAAATAAGCTCTAGTCTTACAAAAAGTAAGTTTTTTTTGTTATAAAATTCTATTAAACAAAAATATATCTCACATAACATGTTTCCATATAGCAGAGTCTGAAAATCCAAAATTAATTGATGCATCGAACGTCGACGAAGACTACGATGAATTAATGGATCGTCTGCGCGTTGCCGATTTCCTCTACACCGAGTACTCGCTGGAAGAGATCATCTACCAATTGGCGAAAGTGATGTTCACCCAGGGCTTGACGCGTGGCAGCGCTGAAGCACAGCAGGCGCTCCGAAAGTTCACCGCTTTCCTGGAAGCCGAAGCCGAACAGGGTCACATATCAAAATCGCTCGAAAAGAAAGTGCTCGGTAAGTTTACATTCTAAACTTTGGCACAAAAACATTTTTCTCGGCGTATAAATATTCCACGATAACAATAAAAACGGGTTTTATTGCGCTGGTAGAATTCCAACTTTATGTCTCTTGAGAAATCGTTTGTTTTTCTCGCGCTGCACTTTTCACTCAGCACCGCCATTGATTTCCAACACATGTGCTAACAACTAACAGCAAACAACACGTGGCACACATGGGAATTAGCGTATAGGAAAAATGCTTTGAACTTTTCACAAAAAAAACAACTTAAAAATTCAATTTATTAATGTAATTGATATGTTTATAAATGTTTTACAGATGTACTGATTGCGTCCTTGACTGACACGCTCAGTGAACACCCTGAGTCTGAGAAGCAACTAATTCCACATGAAAATCGCCAAAATCTGCTTCGGAAAATCGCGCAGATGATCCCGCAGGATAAAAGCCTGCACTCACCGCGTGTTGACATTCAATTAGAGGGCGAAAGTCGACATCCCTTCTCTTCGTTGACCCAATACAAAACAATCGATTAATTTCTCTTCAAATCCATAAATTATAAACATAAATATTACCAACAACAGCAAAACTTAAAATATGTTGTATGTAATATTGTAAATTAATATAATAATATTTATAAAATAAGGAAACAAAAAAGTCTGGATACACATAACTAAATTTGCGAATTTAGTTATCAATTTATAGAAAAATTCTAATTATATAAACAAATATCAACATTTCCATACTAAACGTTGCGTATAACGAGATGTAAATGTGTATAAAGAGACAGATTGTAATGTACAAAATACATTATTGAAATATATCAGAAATTGAAAGCATGCTTTCTGATTCAATGTTGGAATGTCTGACTTTTGGTGAATTCACAGAAATAGATGACTATGCAAATGTTTGCCGTGTAATTAATCGCTGATAATAATTCAACTTTAATTGCGTGTTCTTGCCGAGTGTTTTGTCGTTTAACTCTAAGGGTCGAAATGTTTTTGTTGATGGCGAAGGTTCCGACAAAGCACAGTGGGATTAATTAACAGGTTTGTATAATAATAAAAAATTAAATTTATTTTTGGTTATTTTACCGTTTTTTTCAGAATTCTTGGTGTTTTTGACTATTCGTGTTTTTTTCTCATACTCCACATGAAGACATGGCGTATATTTAGGGCTCCCCGGTGACACTATAATAAATCTCGTCGAAAAAGAGCGTCGCGACGTTTTCCGCGATTGGCGACGCCAGTGGTTCAAGAGTTGCACATTGCTGCACATTGGTGCATTCGACGGCGTCGTTTGCGGTTATTCCTGCTAGTTTATCATTCGGATTTCCGGATCTCCCCGATGTATAAATGTTCTTATCGACTGCGTAAAAGCACACAATGTGAGTAAAAATTAATGTTTTGGGATTCCGTTAAAAAAATTAAAATTCTGTAGTTCAACGTCACCAAAGCAAAAAATAAAATAAAACTATGAAAAGTAGTAACTGCACATTTGGAATGATGCCCAACTTCATTCATTTTTCCACAAATAAAACCAAAAACTTAAAAAGCAAATATATTACAGCCATTTTTCATTTATTTTTTCTAAATATTTTTGCGTTTTATAATGCCTTGAGTGCTGTAGTTTGGAATTTGCATTTTATAGCAATTGTTCCGAGTTATTACCTAATAACAACAATAATAAGGTGCTCGTTTGGAGAGCAATAAAACCCTTAAGAGATCTCAAGGCATCTTCAAGTGCCTCGCCACGCCGTTGCAAATAGAAAATGTAAGCGCTGATATTAAGGGAATAGAATGAGGCGAGTGGAAAACCGAAACATTCAGCCAAACGTTGAACTTTCTGTGACTCGCCTCCGCGCCAGCTTAGCGTTTGTGTTTGGCGTTGTTTTCTTGATTGCTTTCCACAACTGCTGTTTGTTTTGCGTCTTTACAAATTTTCAGCGCTGCGCCATAACTCCCACTTGGGTGTTGTGTTAAAGTGTTTTAATTGCGCATAATTGCGTTTAATTGCGTTTTGTGTTTACGGGATTTCGAAAATTTACTCAAACTTTAACCTGAAAATCACTCAAAACTTTCAGGAGTGTTATTATATTAGGTAATGTATTAAAATCTATTTTTTTTTGCAAATAAAATATTCATCTATAGCAAATTCAAGCAATAAACGCGAGCTATTTTAAGATAATAATTGTGTTGATATGAAAAGACATGTTTTGTGCATTAATCTATTTCAACAGTCAAATATTTTATCAAATTACTAGCTGTTGCCCGCGACTTCGTTCCGGCAGTGTTTAATAAAAATGTAATTCGATTTTACTCTCTTGTTCTAGACATACTCGTAGTAAGAGTCAATTCTATCAATAAGATTAGCAATTTTCATTTAAAGAAATTAATTATATAAAGTTTTGTCAATAATGCACTTCAGCGCGCCATCTCGAATTCAACTATTTAACTATAACTATGATTGAATCTCAATGTCTAATTTTATTCTATAGAAAAGAGCTGTTTTGAGGATTTTCCCGGCAATTATTCGAATTTTTCTCACCTTTTAAACCATCCCTAGACCTCCACGAATAATTCAAGACCAAGATAAGATAAATCCGTTCAGCCGTTCTCGAGTTTTAGCGAGACTAACGAACAGCAATTCATTTATATATATATATAGATTATTTAATGTTAAATCTACAACCACAAATACAAGTTTAAAATAATAAACAACTTTAACATCTATTATTATTCATCGTTATACTAAAAACCCAAAAAAAAAACATGAAAGTTTTAAGTTCACGTTTCTACCTTAAGAAAATGTACCTGAATAGTGATGCCGTGCGTCCCACGCAAGTGAATGCGTTGAATAATTCATATCAGTCCTTAGCATTCATTACTTCTACAATGCGAGGAGCGTCACCAAATGCACCTTCCACGTTTATCCTATATTATAAAACCTCTGACAATAGTAAACCACAACAAATATGCTCGCGCGACTGATTAAAAAACAAAATTCCGCTTTCTCTAAGAAATACAGAGTGAAATTTCTCTGGGTTGTGTGGGCAGGTATTACCTAATACCTACAATTCTGTAAGGATATTAATGCAATTCCAAGTTGCGTGCGCTTGAGTTTAAGCATGAGTTCGGCTCACGGCGAGAACACATCCACGGGATTTGCATTCGTACTCTGGCGCGGAAATGACGCTTTCACATTCCGTCGGCTCCGGTAACGCCACCATTACCTTCCCTTACATTTGCATGCTATCTGTATTGTGAATTCAGTCGCGGGATTAAGGTACACGCGCCGAGGATTAATTAAATTGCTTTAATAAATTTTGCATATAAATTATTCCATTTGTTGAATGTTTTTCGACTCCACGCCGTATTCCGCAATATTAAATTATTGAAAACAATTGAAATCCATACGTTAAATTAGTTTAAGAACTTGATCAACTATTTAACTGCGGTATTATTTATTTTATCTCTTGTTGTTTTAGTTGCTGTGTAGAGTTTACAGTTTTGGGTTACTATTGTTGTTTGTGTTGGCTGCCGGATAACAAAATGCAAATGCAACTATGCGAAAGGGTGTGAATTACGACCAATTCAAATGTGAACTTTTGATTAACAGAATTGTATTTCCAAAATTATATCTATACTCAAAAATACAATTTATTTAATTTTTATCAAAAATAATTTATTTTTAAAACAAAAAATATTTTTTTCTTCCTAAGGATGATAAATATTCTAAATACGTGTCTGTAAATGTTGGCAGTGTTTAGTTTAGGCAAGTTTCTTAAAGAGCGTGCCCGACCCGAGTAAAGTATCTAATAACTGAGACAATGGCGCGGAGCCTTACAACCCCTTGGTTCAAACCTGGTGCGGCACGACATCGAATGCAGCTGCCGCCGCCGAACGGGTGGTGCGCGCATGCACGAGCATCATTACGAAAGGATAATATGGCAACTTCCGGGCGCGCAGAATTGCTGGATAATTAATGCGCGACGCAAACTTGCTGCGTCCCTATTCGCATGGAGTAATATTCAACTATATTTAGAAAATTTAGCCTGAATCAGGTCAGGAGTCTTAGTTCATATAAATTAATATTTGTATTGCTTTTTTTAGAGTTTTAGATAAGTACCTTTGTAAATGTCGAATTTGTTATTTGTGCGATAAAGTCGTAGGAATTTGTTCAGCGAAGCGCTTGACTTTCTAATACCTTGCTTGAGTGCCAAAAGTGGCAAAACGTGTCAGGCGGTTGGAACATTTCCCTAAAACGCTTTCCAAATTGCGAAGTAACTTTCTCCGTGCTGACTTCATCACGGCGTTTACACGGCGGCTACAATCTTTTAAATCAACGCGGAAGTTTAATGCGCAAAAGCTTCCTCAGCGCGCAAAAAACGATTTTTGAACTTTTGAGAAATAAGGCTCGGAAATATTAATTTTACGCGTTGGATTTGATGAGGTGTAAAAAATAACTGAACAACAAAGAAGCCTACGGTTTAAATACGCCGTAAAAATATGAAATATGTTTTTATATATCTTGACAAAGCTAGTGAGAAACAAGTTGGCTTCATTCGGGGCTTAAAGAATGCAAAAAAAAACAAACAGAACAATGACGACGAGCTTTTTGTTAGCACTGGCGAGTTATGAAAAGAGAAAAGACGCGACCGAGTGGAAGTTGAGGAAATTGCTGAATTCCGGTGCAAAGAATACGAATCCCTACGTAATTTGTTTCGGTGCATAATACGGAAAAATATCTCAAACAAATATTACCATTCCAAGGCGAATATTTTTAAGTAAATATTTGCGCAAGACGGGCGACATTTTAAGCGGAATGTTTATTTTTAGCTCACTACAGTTGACAGGAGCTTAGTTGGAATCAACGTATCCCACCTGTTTTCAATCCGACAAGATTACTGGAGCAATATGAGCAGATGAGAGCACTTAGCCGACGTATGAATTGGATGACGTCATTTGCGCGACTGTGGCGTGGTGGTAATAACGTGTCAGCAACACATCTCCACTTCCGCTCCCCGATCATATTACCTCAACACCCACACAATTACCGAGTTTATGCAAAACGTGCACATTTCAACTGCGCGTGGAACAATAGTGGGTATATATTATGTTTTGCATGTTAGGTTGGATTCATTTAAATATCAAAATATTTTGTTTTAAAGTGCTTTTAAACGAATAGAGAAAAATTGTTGGACGTGCGAAAAAACTTTTCTAATATTTGAGATTTCCAATCTCTCAAACTTTGCTGCTGCAATTCTTTTGGATGAACGGGGAAACGAGTTGGTTTTTTTCGGATTTCGGCATTTATGAACAAAGTTTCGAACACGTTCTCAAAGTTGGACAAATTTTTGACGTCTCTATTCTATATATAAACGAAAAATTGGTTGAAAAACACTATTTTTGTTTTAAATCATATTTTAATTAAACAATTTATTCGGAAAATAATTTTTTTTAACTTTTATCTTTAAAATGCCACTTTTTCCAAGGTTTTTAAATACAAAAAGTTGTACTTTAGTCACGGGCAGCCAAAACCGTGACTAAAGTACTTTATTTTGCCCCTTCAATCAATCTCGTGAATAAAACTCTTGTTTATTTAAAAAAAAGTTTATTTAAATTTGCGAAAGACAATATCACCACACATATCTTAAATAAACTAAGTGTAAATTATAAATAGACACCTATAAATGTAGACCTTGGCTAGATAAACCTGAGTATGATATATGAAGCGTCTTAAATCCTCTAAATTATGACCTACTCTAAGTCTCAAAGTTACAAGGAGAAAGCAAGATGAGGTTTAGGTAAATCACTTACCTTACTCTACCCTCACTCTC